TATCCACAGTCCTATCTGGCCTTAACCTCCATGAAATTATAACTTCTTGGGAAATCTCGTCTAACCAGCTGTACTGAAGAGTTGTTCTTTCCTTTTTTCCTGTTTAAATAGCACTTAGTGATTATCATTGACAAACAGGGATGTTAGCAATTCATAAAACGAAGACGGTATTTGGAGAAGTCCATCAGGTCTGCTGAACTAACGAGGGAGCTTTGATGGATCCTGGACGCAGCAAAAGAATTATAAGCATAATGCAGACTGCTACTGTAAGGACTGCAAAAGCTTTGCAGCTCACTGTTTATAGATTTAAGTAGAATGCTCTTGGTTGTAGCTTTATGTCAAGGATTTACCTTTATGTAGTTTAGTATTTTTTCCTCTGTTTACTTTCCCCATTCTCTGCGTGCAGTGCCGACTCTACAATCGGCACCCTTGCTGAGGCCTGAAAGAGCATTTTGGTATCCCTGATGATGTACCCCTGTTCAAAAACCTGTGAGATTTTGGGGAAGTGGAAGGGAAACTCCAAATAACCTAAGAGCAGCCTGCAGAGAGAGAGAGTGAAAATATTTTCATAGTGTACAGAAATATTGACTGTTACCAGAGAAACTGATGCAGTGACACTTCAAATGTTGATGGAGTTTTCACTAATCTGGCTTTTCTGGTTTCCAGGATAGTACTTTCTGTAGGCCCTTATTAAGCTGCTGGAGTTTAAGCCTTTGTCAGCATTTATGATATAAATCCTGCTCTTTAGGGGTTTAGAATTCAACTGTGGAAATTGCCTCTAGCTTGAAAATTGGAATTCAAGTTCTCATTTTAGGAGACTGTGATTTTAAAAAAAAAAAAAAAAAAAAGATTTTACTTGCTCCCAGAACCTTATCAAAATTGTTTAAATACCTTACCCTGGTAGGGAATAACAAGACTCACTTCATGTTCATACTGCCTCTTCCCTCAAAATTTTTCCAAACAGGGTGCAAATTACTTGAATAGATAAAACTCATTGATCATAAAGATAGAATGCAACTAGATAATGCCTTAAACAGAGTGGAGAAAGCAGATGTCAAGAATGCAGAGACAAGCTTGCAACTCCTGTAGGAGACTGCTCTGGGGCCTTCTACACTCACATAGATCAGAGGCTTCCAAGCTGTGAGGGCAGTGTGCCACATGAGCTGTCAGTGCTACATGCAAGCTGAATGAATGTGCATGCTACAGGTGGTTCCTATCTGAGGAGGGGGAAAAAATTGTCCAGGGCTCCTGATGTAAGGTCTTTTTCAGAAGATGCTCAAGAGTAAACTGTGTAGTGAAGAGCTGAGTTAGTCTTTTTAAGACTTGAGCCTGCAGCTCCTGAAAGGTTATGTGTGCAAATTTTGCTTCCCTAGAGATTATTAATAACCTCCTTGTACAGCCAGGAGTTAAGAAGTCTGGAGTGTGTGGGGGTGGGTGCAAATTCTTGAAGAGCCTTGGAGTGCTGGTCTGGAATGTGACAACTAGAGCATCAGGCTGGCCTGACTGAGGCAGTAGATCCCAGTTAGGATTCTGAGCTTGTCCCATGCTTCCCAGGACATTGGGAGCTTGAATCGTTTCACCAGTAACAGCCCTGCCTGATGGCACTGTGCTGTCCTTTCAAAGTGAGAAGGTAATGGGAGGTGGAAGGAAATTATTCTAGTCAAATGCAGCTTTTCTTGATGCTTCCCACTGGGATAATCAACCGCGATAGCCCCAGTATTAGCAGACTGACCCAACTTGTTACTAACTAATAAATTTTGGCCTCCAAGCTGTTCAAGTGGTAGTTGTTCTGTGAATCTGCCAGAGAGATCAGGGAGCCTCTGTTGCGTTTGCGGTTAGCACCTGCTGTGGTGGATGTGTAGCTTCGGGGCTCTGACGTCAGTAAACTCACTGGCTCGAGGAAGGGCATGGGGACTCCCTCACCTTAGGAAGGAATCTCTTTAAAAAGAAGCTGTATTCCACTGTGTGACAGTGTAAAAATGGCAACTTACTTGTTAACTAGATCTCTGCATATGTCAGTGCCATCCTACTTTGGAAGTAACAAGGCACAGCTCGTGTGTTGGAAGGGGAATACTTGGCTTGCAGAACTTTTGGCCTATTGATGGTCCAGGGACCAGAAGTCTTTGAGGGCTAGTAACTGAGGGAAGCTGTCTTCTGAAGGTAAACCTGAATGCTTACTTCTGAAACAATAAACAGAATCACCTGCCCCTATTTTTGCAATTACTTTCCAGGGAAGAACAATGCTTGAATTTCTCATCCCAGTTGACTGAAGGAAAAAAAAATACGGTAACCCTTATTGTCAGTTAGGTCATGGCTTAGCAGACGTGCGTGTTGATATGTGACCTTTCATGTGTCGTTTTCTGCAAATTTTCTGAAAATACGAGAGACCTTTAGCTACCTATTACTTGAATCCCTAGCTAACTGGATATTGGGATGGGGGAATGAAATTAGAGATCAGACTAAGTTACCTGGAAGTAGATAGTAGTTATATTTCCTGTCTGAAAAGAATTTGATAGACACCTAGTATCAGGCTGAAACAGCCTCTTTAATTCATCCAGTTTTGCCAGCTTCTGCTGGAATTTCAACTTGGCCAGGTGTAACTTTAGCTCAAACAAGAGGTGAAACTTTGATTGCTTTTACATTTGGATCACACTGTTAGATGTGATTTAGAGTTGGCTGGGAAATCATTTTCTTATTGTACAGGAATTCTGGAGCTTTTTTTTCCTCCTTCCATTCCTTATCAGGATGAAGCCAAGACCCTATGCCTTTTGGGATATAGAAAAAGAGGGAAGCTGAGATTTGTGGCGAAGTCACTCACTTGGGCTTTTTAGGTCCAAAGTCATGCTTTACCTTGGGAGTGTGCTGAGTCATGTTTCTGTTTTACCCTACCAAAGGCCTGTTTCTTATATTTCCACTGATTTACAGTGTTAACTAAATGGATATCTGTTTCAGAATGACAGAACAGTTAAATAGGCTGGCTGACTCCTGCCCTCCTACTTTAACCCAGAACTCCTCTGGCTGCCCTTTGAAAGTTGTGTAGTGCAGTTAAAGGAGTGACTTATGGTGGCAATTCAGAGTCTCTACCAGTCTTATGTTCTTGGAGATGAATGGGAATGTGGAGGAAATAATTCTACACGACATGGAAAAAAAATGCACAAATTGGAGCATCCCCTGAGCGCGAATAAAGGTACCTCTTGTCTCGGTTGCTAGACAAGAGAAGTTATTTTAAGTCCGTGTTCACCTAGATAGGTTTTTTTCACTCACAATGTCAAGTGGAAGAACAAGCAGCGTCCCAACACTGTGTGAAGTTGTAGGTAGAGACCGAAGAATGGTACTTGGAGCTATTCATCCTTTTTGACAGCTTTCTATTCAGTTATATATGCATTTGCAAGTCAAAAAGTGATTTGTTTTTTCCCTTTTTTATGATTTTCCTCCCCACATACCCAGCTCTGCAAAATCACTGTGAAGTCTGTCCCTCTCGCTCTGCTATGCTGTTTGTGCAAAAGGGAGAGAAGTCAGCTGAACAACAGGCTGTGCAGCCAGCTTGTCCCTTAGGGCTAGGTCGTTGGGAATATTCCTTGGTGCGGTACGGTTTGGCGTTGAACTTAAACTAGCTTGCAAGGAATACGTTCACCTCCAGCAGTACCATGCTCCACAGGTACTTTAGAAACTGCTCATAGACCACGTGTTGTGAGAGGTTGTACTGCAATCCATCATGGAAGGAGTTGTGAAAGCTCTGGTTGTTGGTTAGAGTGCGTATTTGGAGAGTGACCGCATCTCCTGAGGACTCTGGGTCATGGTTGGGCATAGTCCACATTGCTGGCCCCTTCCTACTCCTTGAGTTCTTTTTTTTTCTTTTTTTTTTTTCTTCCCTGTCAAATGAACAGATGTGATCTGGAAACAGTTATTCACGCTGTCTTTTTTTCTTGTGGCCTATACTATCATTCGCCATGAGTGGAGGAACCTCATGAGCAGAGGTTTCCACTACAAAAACTCTGACACCTTTTTTAATGAGCTGTCGGGCAGGAATAATTGAGCTCTCCCTTCTATAACTGCATTAGCTCTACAGTGGTGACATTTTGTTTTCCTTAGTTAAGTTAGCAAGTCTAAATGTTAAGAATGTTCTGGTTTCACTTAACGGTCTTTTGAAGCATGGCCAGGTTCTCCAAATTGCATTTTGGAGAAGGGAATTCTGAAGAGAAGTCATAACCTGTAATGAGGAAAAAACACACAGGGAAAGATTTAAAAAATTGCCTGAGAGGTACATTATATTGATTTGTGCTTAATTTAAACACCTTGCCCTCAGTTTGTGATGTCCTATGGAGATAATTCTGCCATCATACTTAAAGATCACAACTTCACTGTGAGGTTTATTAAGAAGGGAAGGTGCTCCCCTCTGGGGCAAGCTGTTGAGATATCAGAGGAACTAGTGATTAAAGAACTAGGAGTAGAACTTAGTGTTTTTTTCCCTAGCTTTTGCATTAAGCCTAGCAATTGTGTTGGCAGCAGAGACCCTTCATGGAGTTAAATGAGATGACAGATGTTACTCATGTGTAGATCTTTTCCCTCCTTCTCCCTCAAATGCAATGTTGACACGTTATTTCTTACTTTTTGTTTGAGTTTTGTTTTGAAGCATGTTTTTGCTCACGATGCCGTGGGGGGGACTGGAGGTACTGTGTGATTTGTCTGTTTCCTGCTCTGTTCTTGCTTTTAAATGTTGGCAACTCTGCTATCTTTATGCTGGGGTTTGTATTTGTAGCAAGGGAGTAAGAGAAACTTTGCAAAATGTATTAAGATCCTATTGAAAAATCCTCCAAAGTACAAATGCTACTGCAAATGGACACACTGGAAGTGGTGACATTAGTGGAAAGTAAATGCGTTTGTTTAAGCTTAACACCACTGATCTTTCTCTTATCTCCCATGATAAGCCCTTTTTTGTCAGTCAATTGTATTATGTCTTGGTTATAGTTTTGTGCCTCATGTTGGTGTTATTGTTCCAGGTCTCTATTGTGAGCAGTGCAGAGAAGGAGCCACGTACTCAGGTGCGGTGATATCTCCCAACTTAGAAACCACTAAAATCATGCGAGTTCCCCATGCTATGTCAGTGTCCGACTGCGTGGCAGCCTGTTGTGACCTCTCTGGTTGTGACTTGTCCTGGATGTTTGAACGACGCTGTTACATCGTTAACTGCCGACGCAAAGAAAACTGTGAACCTAAAAAAATTGAAACGGTCAAGTCCTATCTTACTTTTGTGCTGAGGCCTTCTCAGAGGCCAGCCTCACTGCTGGGCTATGGGCAAGTGATCCCGAGCATGGCCCACTCTGTGGGACTCCAGAACGAGCCCTCTGAGGAGGTGAGTAGCCTGAAGGAGCTGTCTCTGCTCGGCAAAGATCCCAGCCTTGAGGAAATACCAGAGTACATAGATGACTATAAGGAATTGGAGCAGGACCCCTTTCAGATGGGCATCAAACACGAGCAGGAGAGTGCAGATTATGCTGACTGGGGCCTGATGGTGACAGGTGAAAATGTCTTCAACTCTTCAGTGGATGATGATGGAGATAACCAGGAAGATGTGGCTGAAAAGGAGGGGGAAGCTGCGATGGCGGAAAATCTCCTGAATAAAAATAGTTCTGAACTTAGCCCTGTCACTGAACGCTCCCTGGAGAGGTTGTCATCTCTCCCAGAGATCACACCATTCCCAGTGAAGACGTCTGAAAGCGGAGCAGCTGTTCAGCTGCTTGCGCAACCGGACAGTGCTTTGCAAGAAGAGGTATGTGCCCCCTTCAGGAAGTGGGGGAGAGTCTAGCAGGACTGCTTTGCAGTTTGTTTTATTTGTCAAATCAAATTAGCTTATTGATTTGAAATGTAACCCTGGGGAACTCAAATGCAGCCTTGCAGTTCCAACTTACAGTCCTGCTGTAACACAGAAAAGACTGAAGTGGGGTATTTTGTGCCTTAATTGAAAGGCAACTGAATCACTGAAGGATGCTGTCTGTTGGAGAATAAGGAGTAGAGCTCTTTCTAGGACACTGCAGGATTTCCTTTAAAATTTTCAGATGTGCGGGCTTGGCCTGGTGTAATAGAAGTCTTATGGTATTCTGCCTTTCTGACCTCTGATCCTGTTGTGACCCAGTAGAAAAAGTTAGCTGAGCAATGCTAGGGGACCCTCTAGTGTCCCCTCTAGTACCTCAAGGCCTGGACCACGAACTGTTCTCAATTCGTATCAACCAGTTCAGTCACTTGGGGCTAATGGGATTCCCAGTCCTACAGAACAAGGAGAGATCATCAGGAAAGCTGGAACAGGCTATAAAGCCAACATCCACTGAAGTTACTGAGGTTTGGGGTGTTTTGTTTGTTTTTTTGGCTTGGGGTGGGGCTTTTTTGGTCTCTAGAAGAGTTATGAATTTTGATTTTGAGGCTTGTCTTTTGAAGATACTCTGTAGAACTCCCTTGAGGAACAGCACTGAGACATCAAAGATAGTGCTTGCTTTTTGAAAGGGTTGTCTGTCTTTTGGTAACAGGAAGGTCCTGTCCTTTAATAACTTACTGTGCGAGTTCACTCTTGTGTGTAGTGTTTGCTTAATTTCACTTGGCTCCTGTGAGAGTTTGTTGATGAACTATGTCATGTTTTAAGACGAGCACTGTATTATCTTGGATTTTTGATCAGTTGTCTGTGTGTAGCAACAGCAATTATGGAGCTGAAGCTAAGTTGGCCAGACTCGTATCTGTTACCTGAAAGATGTGGTCGTTTTTGTGCTTTGGTCTGTAGCGAGAAAGGTGACATTGGGAAATTTGTTGAAAGCTAGGAAGAGTGTTCTTGTTCAATAAATCATTACAGCCCAATCATTTTTGGGGTATAGTTTGTAATTGTTGAGTAATTTTCCTGTTCAGATTTTAGTACTGGATGGTTTGACAAAAACGAATCTATGGAGAGCAAGAACTTTCTTTGGAGCTTGCAGTAAATGCATATGGGTAAAAGCATTTCTTTTTTGAAGTTCTGTTATCTTTCTGGAGAAGTATGTATTTGCGGGGGGGAAATCATCTTTATGCTGGCTTACTTCAGAGCATGTGAGATGGTATCTGAAGGATTCTTTTTGAAGAAAGTGTTTGGTGTTCTGGGGGACTGGTGGTTTTATGGAGGTGTTTGATCTATGGGGCTTTTTATTTAGTAGTGTGTAGGTTGCTATTTTTCATGTAGGTTATCATGTCTGTGAAGTTCATGTCTTTGGAGTAATTCTACAACAACAACCTGAAAAGTTAGAAATTACTGAATTGGAGTTGCCATATAGTAATAGTTAGGAATAGTTTAATTTGGTCTTTATACCAATTACTCTAATAGTAACATGAATTACTTCTCCTTGTAAACCCTTCCCTATATCTTTAGGTGTTATTGCACAGATACAATGCTACTAGTTCTTGAATGTGTGTGTTCATTCTTGAATATAAAGCACTCTGTAAACGTGAGATTTTATTAGCAGAAATTACGTAGTCCTCTTCACCATATAAAGTGTATGCTCAAAATGCCAAGTCTCATTACCGCAAAGGGTGACTGGCTTCTTGCAAGCCTTCAGGAAAAAGTAGCAAATGGAGATGTATTTCATTTCCCTTCCAAGAGTAATGATACTAGGGGAGAGGCGCTGAAAGCAGCTCTCAGAGTGCAGCCAAAAAATGTAGCAATTTCTGGGCTCTGCTTGGAGAGCTCCTGGGAATTTCTGCTTAAACCTTCTGGGAACTTCATCTGAAACCTGTTGGGAGCCCTCGGAGGAAGGTAAGGGTGCTTGCTACTGCAGGACGGGATAGCCACAGGAGACTGTGGCCTTTAGCAAGCTCTAGCAGCTTCTCATGAGCTCTGTCAGCTGTTCCTGATCAAAGGGTGCTTTGGGCTTGTTCCAGCTGACTCCTGATCAGGGAAGGTCAAGCACCCTTTTGACAAGTGTCAGGAAAAGCCTATAGAAGTGCTGGCCCAGAGTACAGCCATCAGGTGCAGCAGTTCATACAGAAGGTGCAGAGAAGAGGGGCAGGGACACTGGTGTGGACAGCCTGCATGTGTTCAGCAGTGTGGTGATAACGCTATATGGCACCGTCTTCATCCCTGACTGGAGCAACTACCCCTTTAATGTCTGAGGCCTCAATAACACAGACCAAGGTTCTGAAGGGGGATGCAGCCCTGCAGGGACCTGGGGCGTCTTGCTGAGGCTGGGGAAGGGGAATAGGGCCTCCTTACGTACAGGAGGTGTACGCTCACAGAGGAGCTGCATCATCAAGTGGAGGGGCTGTGGAGGAGGTCACAGACTTTGTAGCATCAGAGGCAACAAGAAAGAGATTGACCAGATCTTCTCTGAGTCCCTGTAGTCTCAGCAGCCTGAACCTCCCATCTGTACTGAAGGAGGGGCAGGTAGAGCCCAAGCTTATCCAGTTGGGAAACGGAGATTACCATGACGGTAAAGGCTAGAAGTTAGTGACTTCTGACACCAGGAGGACAGCTCGTGCTCCCCCTGCAGATCTGCAGCTCCAGAAGAGGTTCAGCACCATTGCAGCAGATGAGGGGCTGGGAGCCATGTCCAGCGAAGCCTCCGAGGTGGCTGAGCCTTGAGTTGTGTGTTAGCCCCAGGAGGAAGTGGCAAATGATGGAGGTGGGAGACTCAGTGCTGCGGGGGATGGAGGCCCATATCTGCCAACCTGTCCTACTGTCCAGGAGGTTTGTTGCTTGCTGGGGGCTCAGATCCAGGACATCATGGAGAGACTGCTGAGGCTTGTCTGGCCCTCAGACTATTACCCCCTACTGTTTTTCCACATGGGCACCAACATTACTACCAGGGGAGACTTGGAGTGTTTCGAGTGTGATTACCTGGCTTGGGGGGTGTGAGGGTCAAGGGCATGGGGGCCCAGGCAGTGTCTCCTTGATCATCCTGCCAATGAGGAAGAAAGGCTTGAGAAGTAGAGGGATCCTGTGTGTTAACTGGTTGTGCAGCAACAGGGATTTGGCTCTTAGGACTGTGGGACCCTCTTTGAGGATCAAGAAGAGATCAAGGAAGAGATGGGATCTATCTGACCAAGTGGGGTAAAAGCATTTTTGTCAACAGGCTGGCCCACCTGGTGAGGAGAGCTTTAAATTGAATTGATTGAACTGAATTGATTTTGAAGGATCTCCTCCTCCAAGCTCAAGAATGGTCAATCCCCATGAGCACAAAATCAAGCAAAGGCAGCATGAGGCCTTCCTGGATGAACAAGTTGCTCCTGACTAAACTCAAACATAAAAAGGAAGTGTACAAGGGGTGGAAGCAGGGGCAGGTGACCTAGGAGGATTACAGAGACACTGTCTGAACTTGCAGGGATGGGCTTAGGAAAGCCGAGGTCCATCCAGAGTTGGATCTGGTCAAGGATATGAAGGGCAACAAGGAGGAGTTTTACAGGTACATCAGCAGCAAAAGGAAGTCCAGGAAAAATGTGGGCCCCCTGCTAGATGGGGCAGGGGACCTGATGACAAAGGACATGGAAGAAGCTGAGTTACTCGATGCCTTTTTCACTTTGATCTTTACTGGCAATACTGGCCTTCAGTAATTGCAGGCCCCAGAGACCAGAGCTCCAGAAAGTCTGGAGCAAGGAGTACTTACCCTTGTTAGAGGAGAGTCAAGTTTGGGAACGTTTAAGCAAACTGGACATATACAAGTCCTTGGACCCACGTGGGATGTCCATGAGTGTAGAGAAAGGTGGCTGATGTCACTGTGGGGCCGCTCTCAGTCATCTTTGAAAGGCCACGATGAGCAGAAGAGGTCCCTTTAGGATGGGAAGAAAACAAATGTCAGTCCTATCTACAAGGAGGAGGATCTGTGAAACTACTGGCCAGTCAGCCTTGCCTCGATCAGGGGAAAGGTGATGGAGCAAATTATCCTGGAAACTGTTTCTAGGCATATTAAGGACAAGAAGAGTATTGGCCTTAATCAGCATGGATTTGATTTTGAAAGGTGAAATCATGCTTGACCAGCCCGATAGCCTTCTGTGATGAGATGACTAGCATGGTAGATGAGAGGAGAGCAATGGGTGTTTTTATCTTGATTTTAGCAAGGCTTTTGGCACTGTCTCCCATAACATCTTCCTAGGCAAACTGAGGAAATATGGACTAGATAAGTGGACTGTGAGATGGATTGAAAAGTGACTGAAATAATGAGCTCAGAGGGTCATGATCAGTGGCACGAGGTCTGGCTGGAGGATAGTCACTAGTTGTGAACCCCAGTGGTCGATACTGGGGCCAGTACTGTTTAACCTAGTCATTAATGACCTCGTTAATGTGACAGAGTGCACCCTTAGCAAGTTTATGGATGATACAAAACTGGGAGGATTGGCTGATACACTAGAGGGCTGTGCTGCCATTTGGAGGGACCTTGACAGCCTGGAGAAATAGGCCAACAGGAACCTTGTAAAGCTCACCAAAAGGAGGTGCCAAGTCCTGCCTTGGGACCCCCTGCACCACAACAGGCTGGGGCCGACCAGCTGGAGAGCAGCTTCACAGAGAAGGACCTGGAGTCCTGGTGAACAAGTCGACTGTGAGCCAGCAACGTGCCCCTGCAGCAAAGGTGGCCAACAGCATCCTGGGCTACGTTAGGCAGAGTGTTGTCAGCAGGTAGAGGGAGGTGATCCTTCCTCTCTACTCAGCCCTGGTGAGACCGCATCTGGAGTGCTGTGTCTAGCTGTGGATTCTCCAGTGTGAGAGAGACATGGACCTTCTGGAGGTGGTCCAACAAAGGGTTGTGGAGATGATTAAGGTCTTGGAGGATCAGTCATACGAGGAGAAGCTGAGAGAGCTGGGACTGCTCAGCCTGGGGAAGAGAAGGCTCGGGGGATCTTACCAGGGTTTATAAATACCTGATGGCAGGGAGTAAAGATGATGGAGCCAGACTCTTCTTAGCGGTATCCAGTGACAGGACGAGAGGCAGTGGGCGCAAACTGAGATTCCATTTAAACATAAGAAAAAGCTTTTGCTGTGAGGGTGGTCAAACACTGGAGCAGGATGCTCAGAGAGGTTGTGGAGTCTTCATCCTTGGAGATATTCAAAACCCAACTGGACACAGCCCTGAGCAGTCTGCTCTAGTTGCTCCTGCATTGAGCAGAGGGGTTGGTGATCTCTAGAGGTCTCTACCAACCTTAGCAGTTTTGTGATACAACAGTGTGCGTGCTATTAGCCTTCGTTATCCTATTAAGAATTTATGTACAAATAGTAGTAGTATTGAGTACCTTCATGTGCCACAGTTACCATAATTGGCAAACTGCTTTCCTCGAGATATTAGGTCAGAAATTAGTCTTGAGAGGAGAAGTTAAGGAAAAATTATTGGCATGTTCAGACTAGTGTATCCTCAAAGGATGTTGGGGAAATAGGAGGCCTGAGAGAAACGTGAGGTGACTGGCAAGACTAAAGCAATGCTGGGTGGTCTGCCATGTCCTTTGCCGCAGTTCTGAATTGCTAACAAGGTGAGGTGGCAAGAACAACGCTACTGCTGAGTGACTGACGTAGAGAGATTCAAGGCATTTTATTTAGTGGTAGTAAGGAAACAATAGAGCGTGAGTGATTCTTGGTCTAAGCAGATGTAATAAAAGGGAAGTATTGTTATATTTGTGTGTACCATGAAGATGACTGTTTGCCAAGCTGAGGCTTCCTGTCATTGGCTTTTAAAGGTTTATGATCGTATTTACACCTGTGTACTGTGCTGTTATTGTTTGTTGTTATTCCGAGAGCTGGTAGCCTTTGTAGTATTCCAAGATGCCTTATTTTGATAGCCTGTTCTGTGTCAGAAAGTTGGGAGAAGATCAGTGTTTCTTACAAAGCTTGATGGAAAAACAGTCCTTCTTTGACAGATATTCTATATACAAATAAAAACCTGATAACATAAATCAGTAGGCTGATCTTGCATGCTGTTTAAAGAACAGCATACATCTGAAAATGTGAAAAATGGCTCATTTATGACAATCATTTCTCTACAATCTGTCTTGCAGGTTCCTGTGCCTTCCCCTCCTCCAGACAACTTTGGATTCTCCTCAGCTGTGGTGGAGAAAACCCAGGCTCCCACAGTGACCCCAGGGGATCTCACTGAAGGTGGGACCATGGTACTTCCCACTAGTATTGTGCTGTCTCAGCCCCTACAGCAGTTCCCGCCTTCTGCTACTGCAGGTAATGTTTCAGCTTAGCTGAAGGTGTGAGTGGTACCTGTGGGTTGGACAGCGGATGGGGATGGATTTACTGCTGTCAGGTGTCCATCCTGTTGTTAGTAGTGACTCTTCTCTTTATCCACATCCAACATCATCTCACTTTGCAATTAGTCCTACAAGAATACTGCAAACTTCAGACCCCCTTATTTAGCTGCTTTTGAAGCAAAATTCTGACCAAGTCCAGCATCAGTAGGTAATTATGCCTAGGTAAAGATGGCAAAGTAAAAAGCAGAGATTAAGAGCATTTTCTTAATGGGTTAATTTTCATACTCCATGAGAAATGCCTGATGTATTCTTGAGTTTCAGAGTGGTCTCTTTTAGCCATGCTGTTACTGTGGTGAAACTATTTAGAACGCTGCTACCTCCCAGAAACTCTTCAGCAGGGTTCCCACTAAATATAGCTGCCAGGCATCGTGCAGCAGCATAGATGGGACCTGAAGAAGTACCAGCCCAGCACTTATAATAGGGGAGAACATAGCCACCTGATCCTGAAAAAAATGTTTTGCTCTAATTCTAAAGCTTCAAGGAGAGTTATCAGACTTCCGGCTTGCAGAGAAAAAGTTCTTATTTTGAAAAGACCATATTTAACTATTCTGTCCTCTGTAGCTGCATAGATTCTGTGTGTATATTAGTCTAACTCCTTTCTCTTGCTGAGACTGTTCTCCTTTTGTACCTTGGCAAAGGGGTAGAAAGACCGAAAGAAACAGGGAGGCAAATATTTGTGTTTTGCGGCACTCCTGAAGTATTGGGTGATATGGAGAGCCAAGCCCCTTGCTTCTTGGTAGAGCCAGTCTGGTTTGGGATGTTCCTGGAGTCCTCTGCCGAACTAGAACCTGTGGGCCAGAGTAGCGGCAGGAGGGCAGCAGTAGGATAAAAGCTGCAAAAGCTCCCTCTCCAAAGCAACAGTCATTGTTACTGTGAGTGTTGACTAGCTAACCCCTTCACAGGGGGATGCTGAAGGAGACTCAAAAATCAATGTGGAAGAAGCAGCTGAAGGGAAGGTGGTGATGCATCTCACCATAAGTACCACTTTGTGCAAGGGTTGCCTCAAGTTTGTGTGCACCCAGCCCTGTTGTCTCAAGAGGTCTGTGGGACGGACAGTCTGGCAGTTTGCTCATCAACCTCACCTAGCCATTTCATTCTCTTGTCTCCTGTGGAGGTCAAAGGATTCTCTGAAGCACGAATCTCTGCTCCACTGCGGTCCAGAGAAATTCCTGTGAGCAGCTCTGGAGCCATGGCTGCATTTGGACTTTTCTTGCACTTCTGTCATTGTGGAGCACTGACAGCATGCTGTTAGCATGGCCTCTTCACTTCATCCTTTTTCTTTTTCTTTTAAAGACCTGTCAAGTGCCACTGCTGGATAGCTCCCTGGTCACCTCTTCAGAGTTTACAGGTTGGGTGTGTAGATGCTGGTGAATGCTGCATTCGAAGAGCCTTTATTCTGTGGGCTACCGACATTAGTTGAGGAAGGTGTTTAAAGCCTTTTGAAAATAGGTCTATGTGAAACTTCCCTGAAGTTGTACTGTGGTATGTTTCTGTTGGTGACTAGGTTTCTGGACCTTGGCATTTTCAGAAGAGAAAAGAGCTTTCACAGGCAGAGTCTGGGAGGGTGCTCCTGGATGCCAAAAGGATTTGAATATGCAGTTTAGCTACAAAATAACAACTTTGCCTTGCTAATCTAGTGGAATTTTTAAAAAGTGACACTGTAAATAAGACTTTTATCTGTGCTTACTAGAACACCATACAAACAGAATAGTACTGCTTGGTGAAAGAAGGGACGATATTAGAGATTTCGTATGTGCTATGTTACTTCATTAAATAAAGATTTGTTGTTGTGGTGTTGTAGGCTTTGTTTTTTGCTTTTGGAGTGCCTCCAAAAGCAAAACCACTAGAGAAGCTGTTCGTAGGACTGCATTACCAGAGTCGCTGGGTATTGTGTGGCTAATGATGACTCGGGAACACACGAGATTAGATTTAGAGCTGATATTTGCAGTTGAGCATGACAGACCCACTTGGGTTTGGAAATAGAGTGGCTGAGCAGGTGTGATCCGAGACATCCTGTGGAGAGAGGCAAAGTGCCCTGGCAAGTGGTATGACACTGCTGACTACTCTGGCAGAAAAGATGAATTGCAATCCCAGTAGATGAACTGCAATCTGGGTGGTTGGACGCCAGCAGGCCTGCAATCACTGGCTGCACCACAGTCCTACTACACTATTGTGTTGGAGGGAGTGTGGGTAACTTCCTTGTCTTTTTCTCCCTAATAGTGCTCTATAACCAAAATATGGCCTTTCACGCTCTGCTTGAGTCAAGGGCTTTAGGTATCCAAGGAAAACAAGAGATTAGTTAGAGTGGAACTTGAAGAATGACTGTGTGCCAACTGAAAGTAGTCGTTATGGTCTCCCATATGTCCTCTGTACTTGAATGTTTTTGAACTCCCACACTTCCATCCAGTTATTAAGAAATTATATGTTTCTTCTTTATGCAAAACAAAATGTTGCCTGTGATATACAGGAAAAATCCAAACTTATTTCTAAAACAGAAGTAGGTAATAACCCATTTCCCTTTTGGGCAGGGAGAACAATTCTCTGGAATAGGTTGGTAAAAGGTGAAGAATCCGTAGTCGTGACTATAGTAGATTACTATATGATTATTTATTGAGGAAAATTTTTAACTTATCTTTGACAAATGCTCTACAGTGAATGCTTAATCCATTACAAATAGTATTTAAAGATATGACATTTCTATCGTCTCGTCTTTTAGAACATAATGTATTCATTCTGTCATAGATGCAGTGAAAGAACTCATTGTGTCTGCTGGAGATAACGTACATGTGATGCTTCCCAAAAACGAGGTTGAACTGAATGCTTTTGTTGTGCCCCCACCACCAACAGGTGAGCTGAATGGCCTTTGCGCACAAGGAGATGCACATTACAAACCTGTAAATGCAGACGAGTCCTGAGTTACATGAGCATCTGTGCCTCAGGATACAACCATCTTTTTTTTAATCTTCTTGTCCTACTTTTTTTGTACATCCAACTGCAGAGACCACTTTCTGCTTTGGATTTTAGAGATTTCGAAGTGTCTTTTATTTTCAGGACCTAGACTCATTAGCCAGATCACACAGTAGGAAGCCCGTAATTTCTGACAAAAGACAACGTGGCCCAGTTTATAGCATCTTGCTGTTAGGGCAGGCAGGGAAGTAAATTCTGAACGCGTTTACCTTAAACCTACCAGCTTCTGAGCTGCAGCTGCAAAGAATAAATATTCCATAAATGACTATGTAGAGTGCATCCACTTCATGTGGAGGTGGTTTTTGGTGAAGAAGTTGGTTGCTTGTAAGGTCTGTTCTGTCCTTGCTGCATTATCGAGCTACAGCACATTGTAGGAGCTTTGGCCTGCATTTATACTGATTCATTTTGGAAGCTCAAACAGCACCAATCGTGGTTTCTTACTATAGTGTTTTATATGACAGATGATGAACCTGATTTCTTTTTTTTTTTTTTTTTTTTCCTGAGCTTATCTTGAAGGCAAAGCTAACTATTCCTATGCTGTGGTTTTGCTCCCAGAAACAGCCTACAGCTATGAGTGGAGCTTAATCAGTCACCCTGCTGATTATGGTGGTGAAATGGAGCACAGGCACACCCAGACCCTGAAGCTCTCTCATGTAAGTGAGCTGTAACCTTGGGCTCCTGTTTGTGCAGTCTTTTCACTGGAGTTTGTAACCTCTGGTGAAGAGCAGCTTGATTTGAAGAGTTCTGATGACTCCCAGAGTCATCTTTGCTTGCACGTGTCACCAGTGCTTTGCCGGATTAAAATGTCATCTTCAGAGCGCACTGATAATTTTCTGAGACAGAGTAAGAGTTCTTAAGTGTTTACTTTGAAATCCCCACCTCCAGGCAGTGACCAGTGCCCTTTGTATATGTGTTTATAAAGGGAGTTCTAGGTTTCAGATTTTCAGATTTCTCTCTATTTACGGTGTGATTGGCAGTTTGTGTGCATATTGCTCCTGCATAATTCACCATGTAACTGGATTTGTTCTGTTTGTGTCTTAGTTGTCAGTGGGACTTTATGCCTTCAAAGTGACGGTTTCTGGTGAAAATGCCTTTGGAGAAGGTTTTGTAAATGTCACAGTCAAACCAGGTAAATCACTTGCTAAAATGATGAAACTAATTTCTTCAACACAAGTAGTCATACAGCATGCTTATCTAGCAGTCTATCCGTTACTATGTGCCAAGGACACCTAGTACGCAGTCATGTAGAGACGTACTTCATATCTTGCTATTGTAAATGGATTTTAAGAAAGTGTAGCTAGGGATCCAGCTCACTGTATTTAAATGTTCTCTAGCCTTGTACCCTCAGGCAAGGCCTGAGATAGCATTGTCCTAACTTCTGTGTTTCCCTTCTCCAATACAGCTAGATTAGCAATTAAGTGCTGAACTGGCTCTAGCTGCAGTGTGCAGTATACAGGTCTGCTCTAAATTATACCAATTGGAAGTGGCTGCAGTACAGGACCGCTGCGTGGGAGCGCACTGTTCTTTAGTAACCTTCTCTCTCGCTTCTCTGAAAGTGACAGCAGACTCTGTAGAGCTGTCAAGCCTAGTCTTAGATTGCTGAGGACTGTTGATCAACAAAGTCAGCAGAATAGTTCTACCTGGGTCTTCCCTAAATGTTGTTTTTTTTTTTTCTCCTGTCTTTCTCACAGCACTCAGAGTTAACCAGCCCCCTGTTGCCATTGCTTCACCCAAAATACAAGAAGTTTCTTTGCCTACAACTTCTACCTTCATTGATGGCAGTCGTATGTACTGGACCATCCTTTGCTTATATCCTGTATTTTTAATGTACCTTTGCAGCACTGTTGTTTATCAGGAGCAAATGAAATTCCTTCTTCTCTCTGCTCACAAAAGTTCCCTGGACCGTGATTTATGTTGGATGTTTGATTCCCCTTGTAAATGTTAAAGAAAGATTAATCAGATGGAATATTTGTAGGGTATGACGTGGAGTGAAATTGGTTCTAGAATAAGCTGCGCTTTAGTTCTTTTTTTTTTTTTTTTCATTCTGTTCTTTTTGCCTGGAGAAAATTTTATTGCTTTGACTTTTGCACATTCAATTGTATGTTGAGGCTATAGTGAAAAATGCAGGGGAGGACTGGGAGGCAGGGTGTCAGAGGCTGCTACATCCAAACCACAGCTAATCTCACAGCTTCTTTTGGTCCTGCCCAGGATCCCCATTCCAGGCCTCTGTGCCAGGACAGCTAGGGGTATTGTAGAGACCTCTCTGTCATGTAGGGTAGGATGAGACATCGTTTTTGTTACTGCTCCAGAGTGAACTCAAGTTTCCTGAGAGTTTATTTTGCTGTGCGTTTTGAAGTTAAGCAAAGGCTTACGCCTCCGTGTTTATGGAGCACAAACAAGTGTCAGCATTCTCCATTTGTACGTAGGGAAGCTGACTGAGACTGCGTGCGTAAGCGTGTGCAAGGAACTTTGTTTTTGATAAGCCATCCCAAATGTAATTTGGAATCTGTGGTTTAACGGCTATGGTACATGAACCCTGTTCAAATTTGCACAAGAATATGCTTAAAAAGATTAATTGTAGAAAACCGTTTAGGGGTCAGCACATGAAAGTCTCTGGTATTCATACCAGAAATTGCTTCAACATACTGATATTTTTCTTTAATGAATGTAGAAAGTGTAGATGATGTGAAGATAGTGAGTTACCACTGGGAGGAAATTAAAGGTCCTTTGCGAGAACAGAAGGCATCTGCTGACACACCTGTCTTGCACTTATCTGACCTGGTTCCTGGAAACTACACTTTCAGGTACCTGCACGGATTCTTTTCTTCTGGGGTTTTAAGCATTTCTGTGATTTCAGCTAGATGTTTGTTTCTTTCTCTTTGTGTTCATATTTACCTCCTCAAACAAAGAATTTCATTTCTCTTCTACATGCTCTTCCCCTTCGTTTTGCACAGTGAAAAGCCATACGGAGCAGTTTTTATCAAGAAGAGTTTGGGGCGATTTTGTGAGACTGCTGTAGTGATGCTTTGCAGCACAGGGTTATGCAAATGAGGCATTAGAAATTCAACACCTCCTACTTCCTACAATAATAACTGGGAGAGAGCATTTTCATTTTGATTTTTCAGCTGAGAAGTTGGCAAGTGTCCCAAGATGAGATTATGCAGTCAGCTGTGAAAGTCATCCCCTGAAGGTTGGCAGCAGACAGAACAAGTCTGGCAGACTGATCCCTGCAAAGCACTGTGGTGTGCTGATTTTACAAGAATCATTGTCTTGATCATAAAAGCCTTTTCATTGCTACAGTTTTCCTCCAATTATGTCTTGCTGAAGCTGGATCTTATCCAGACAGCAGAAGCAATTTTTGTAATTCTTGGTGCTTTAATTCAAATCAATTGATTCTTCTGAACTTTTTGAATTAGAACTTGGTCTTGGACTTGTGTACAGAGACAGACTTGCATTGCCCCAGTGAGTAACAGCCTGCCCGCCAGTCAATACATTGCGTATAAAGGTAGAATCAGCAGGGTGTGGGAGCTTGTTGATGGCCAGTGCACATCTACGTTAAGTGTGGCGTTATGCATAAGCTTCACAAAAAATTGCACAGCTCCATCTTCTATTCTCCATTCTTTACTGGAATTGCTCGGTGTTATATAGTGGCAGCAATAAGAGTAGCAATTTTTCTGTGTTAAAAAGGACCGAACTCACTTATAAGCAATGCTCTTAAAGTGTGCTCCAAACACTGGGGAGTTAAGAAGTCATTTCTTAAACCCGAGCACGTTTTGGGGGAGACTGAGGTAGCTGAACAATTGAGTAGCCTGGTGAAGCTCATAGGAATCAGCTGGAAAACAGAATCCAGTGCTCCTGACTTCCATGGTTGTGCATCCACTGCAATGGTATACTTTCCCTGATAACAGAATTAATGAGCGCTAAGTTTTGTTCCCAAATGGGAAAGCTTCAAGAGTGGTTTTCTTCCATGTGTTCAGCTGTATGCAGTAGTCGCAACAGAGGTGAAATAAAGATATAGTCAGTTACCACACTGTGAAGGGTAGTTTTTCATCGGTTTCGGATGTTTGCAGCAGTCTCAGTTTAAGATAATTTGCCATTGTGTTTCTGAGAGGTAACAATTTAATTAAACTCTGTGCTTTTTTTAGTTCTGTGACTTGACATCACCTTCAAAAAAAAATCTGAGCTGATATTAAGCTTCATTAAAGTAAATAGTATTGTGCCACAAAGGAATAAAAGTTATAAACTGTTAGGGTGCTATGACAGGCAGAGCAGCTGAGCATCCACAGTAGTTTGGATGTAGTTAGTACCAGCAATTGTTTCACTGTAGCTGATGAATGAAGTCCCCTGCTTTTTACTGAGTAAACTTTTTAAATGATTTCAAATAAAATCTTATTTCTGCCTGAAACCGAAGTTGTCACTGCCTTTGGGAAGTGGGTTTCATCCAGGATCCAGAATAGCTAGACTTCTTTTTTCCTTAACAATTGAAAGCTGTGATGGAAAATAACATCTTCTGAATTTCTTTCCTACCTTAGTTCAGAGCTGTGTGCTTCTAAAGCAGAAGCTAGTATGATCTAGATCAGTGGCTTTGTTTTAGGCAGAGTTTTTTCTCTGCTCTGACGCCAAAGAAGTGCGAATCTTTGAACTTAGCACTTGGTAAATGTCCAGTCTAGCGGATTTTTCAGTATCGTTTTTCCTACTACAGACTAACAGTGATCGATTCAGATGGAGCAACCAACTCCACCATTGCATCTCTGACAGTCAACAAACCAGTGGATTATCCACCTATTGCCAATGCAGGACCAAATCAGGCAGTCACCTTGCCCCAAAACTTTATCACACTGAATGGAAACCAGAGCAGTGATGATCATGAAATTGTCAGCTATGAATGGTCACTCAGTCCCAAAAGCAAAGGCAAAGTTGTAGCAATGCAGGTAAGCCTATTTCTTCTTGCATAATATTATAAGCTCTTTCATCTTTGCCTCTAATAAGAGTAAACACATGTCTGAGGAACTGCTTGGAGCACTGAAGTATCTATATAGAGTTCTGTTACTCTTTTTTCTTTTTTTTTTTTTGATCCTTTGTGTTTGGTTCTTATTTTAAGATACTACTTTAATTCCTTCTCATTGGGTTTTTTTTTTTTTTTTTTTTCATTCTTTCTGGTCACTCCTGATTTCTGCTATTGTATGCTCCCTGATGGTTTGGAAGGAACTTCAGTTCACAGTGTCTGTCCTTGGACCCTGGAACCTGTGTTGCGGGCTTGCTCCTTCTGAGAAGCTAGGCAGGCTGCAAAGTGGCCCTATGTTCTCACAGTAACAGTTAGGTCTGTCTTGTAATGTTTCTTCCTCCTGGAGAAAGTAGGACTCAAAAAGGAGCTTGAATTTCTGAGTGAAAAATGACAAGGCTTTTGGCAGTTTCACACAGCCCCACTTAGTGGTGTTCTTATTATGTTCAGTAAAACCTTGGTTTCCTATGAAGGCGAAGAGAATTTATTCTCTTAATTTTTATAGCTGCATTTTTCTTTAAGTCTCTGAGAACTCACTTCAATAAGAATTGCCAGGGCCTTCTGCCCTCAGTAAGTTGTAAATTCTTGTAGCTCTGCAGGTAGTTGAGGTGGCATAGCCAAGCCAGATAACCCTCAGAAGCCTTTTTTTTTTTTTCAGGAGATAGGAGCTCTTCTGTGTTGAAAATGCAACTGCTGAAGGACTTCTTCAGAACTGGGAAGAAGCCACTTTGTAGATCAATTTAGAAACTGAGTTAAGTTGATGCAAGCCCCTGCTGTAAAGTCAGTTATGAAAATATGAAAGTGCTTATAGCATAATAGCCTATTTCTGTTCATTTAGCAAGAGAAGCACTTTCCAAAAGCATTTTTGCAACCTGAAGTTTTAGCTGTTGAGAGCTGTTCAGGCTTAAAGCAACTTTCCTGCAGGAAAGGGATAAATACTTGACATGGGCAAAGGACTTGTCAAGTGTTTAATTGTGGGATGCAAGAGCATTTTACAATTGCCCCCTCCCACCTTCCCCTTCCCCCCTGCCCCAAATTTGCAATCCTTTTCACGTCCCTAAAGCTGAGGATGCCAGTATCTGGAGTGTTATATGGAATCCATTGTTAGACTGCAATGTAATAAGTACCTCTGGCTAGTTAATCATGTACTTAATTGCATCATGATTTGTTATTGCTCATTTGAGGTATGCCACAAATAGTTTTTGTTGTGGTTTGTTTTTCTTTTTTTTGTTTTTACTAAAAGAACCTGTAGCTGGGCTAGAATGAGTCTTTTTGTGAGCTTGTATAACAGCTAATTTGTGCAAAACGAGTTATGGGGAAAATACCTATAAGACGTTTCTCCTCTCAGACCAAATCTTGAACTCTGTGAAACAGCATGATTCCTGTTACTTTGAGTGAAATGAGAATGAGGATATTGTGCCTCTTAGGCACTAGCTTCACAGTGGTATTGCTGAAAGACTGTACTCAGGAAAACATTGCCCTGTTTAATGTTTTTTGCCATAAGCATAGCTGCCTCATGTAGTAGAGCTGGTTTGTGTTTTATAAATAAATGTTAAGTGTCATTAAAACAGTTATGTTAAACTGTTCATGCTATTTAAGTTAAGTTAAGTTAAGTTTCATGCTATTTAAAAAAAAAAAAAAAAGCATCTCTAAGGAAATGAAACAAGCTGTAATTTTCACCAGTGTTTAATATGCTAATTGAGAAATGTCCCATGTGTTTCACAGACGCTTATTGTTCAGAAATAATGCAGCAATTATACCAACATAAGAAATTAAGGTTTACTGTCTATAAATAAAATATTTCTCCAGAGTAGTACAGACAGTTGCATCACGTGTGTCTGTACATCAAATTTAAAAACTCCATTTTGTCTACAACGTACTCAGGCTGCTTGCTCAACCACTGTATGTATTATGAGCTGAAACGAGTTTTGTTTTTTCTTCCACATTTGCTCTCTAGGACCTTTCGTATGCTGTAAGCATTTCTGTTTTCATTTCGTCCTCTCTCTTTCTCTCTATAAACACCACCTAGGGAGTGCGGACTCCATACCTCCAGTTGTCTGCAATGCAAGAGGGAGATTATACATTTCAGCTGACTGTCACAGACTCGGCAAGGCAGCGGTCCACAGCGGAGGTCACGCTCATAGTGCAGCCTGGTAAGTTGACCGTAGGCTGGTCTAGTTCCTGCAGGAGCGGACGAGCCTGATGCCTTAGCAGTGCCTGGCCTTGCTGCATTGCACCGCTTAGCTGCCAGGCTGAATATCTGTTATCCCTGCATCAAGGACTCTCCCACCTCCTTTTTCTTTCAAAGCAAGCAGTAGAAACAAGTGCAAAATCGCAGAAAGTCCAGATGGTGATCCTGAAGGCTCCTACTGGCCTGATTATGTAAGGCATCCTGCACAGAGATGTGTTTGAGCGTACTTTTAAAAACTGAAATGTTGTTCTGAGTTTAATATCCTGCAAAGCCTGTTTTGCAAAGCTGTTCAACGCATGAATCGGTACTTCACTCCGTCTTATTGTTCTGCGTTAACCTGCAAGCCTCCTCCTGTGATTTGAATTCTCACTAGAAATGCGTTCCATGTCCTAGGAAAAAAGGTCAAGCAAGGAGTTTGCAAAGGCTGCTGCTTTCACACAGTTTTCTGGATTTGGGGGCTGAATGGTCATACCATGGTCGAATGGTCATACCCAAATGGTCAGGTCTCAGCAGACTTTCTTATGCCGTTTTTTTGGTAGTGTGTTTGCCCATTACAGATCCTTGCGTCTAAGGTGGCCTGTTATGTCCATCTCAAGGTCTTCCACTCCACTGTGGTACAATGCTGTTTCTTCCTGTTGTTGCTCATTACACAGCTCTTTGTAGCTGACTTTTTCTGGGGAAACTTTACGGTGGGCAGAAATCAAGAACAGGAGCCACAAGTACAGCCTGCGGTGGTGCCTTTCAGATTGATGATAGTGAAGTTCACACAACACTGTGAAGGTTGTGCTGCTGCTGTCAGATCTAAGGAGAAGTAAATAACCGCGAAAATGGTAGCGTTGCCAGTTTTACAAAGCCACAATAGCAAAGGTCGAAAGAATAACTGGTTATGTGCTTCTGCGCTAAATCATCAATGGGTCTAAATTGGCATCAACTTAGTGGCGCTGCACTGATCTGAAGCAGCCAAAAACCTGGGCCAGTATCTTCTTTTAGGGCAAAGAACCATATTCATGTGGGGCATTATGAAAGGGATGCAGTGGTGGAACCAGAGGCATCTCCCATCACTCTTGTAAAATATTTTGATAAAATGCATTGAGCATACTGCAAAGCTCTTGGAGTGTGACTGTGTCTTCATCTGTGACTGAAAATGGGAGGTACTTGCTGTGGAATTTGTCTTATTGCAAATTTTCAGCAGAGCTGCCTGGTAGTTTTTTGCTTGTTTGTGCATGCTGTACTCTTGATTTATGCCTTGGAGCCAGTATACTAGACTTGTAATCTAGCATTCTGTGTGTGTTAATATTTTTCCCTGATTGACAGTCCTTCCTGGTGACTAGCTAGTAAATGTGATACTTTTAAATACTGTTTTTACAGAAAATAACAGTCCTCCAATAGCAGTGGCTGGCCCTGATAAGGAGTTGACTTTTCCAGTGGAAAGCACTACTTTGGATGGAAGCAAAAGCCAAGATGACCAAGGTGTTGTCTTCTATCATTGGGAAAATATCAGGTATCTAGAAGAATTTTTCTAATCTCACTGAAGGGAACAAAGTAAAAGTGCCTAGGTCCAGAGCCTCTGGCATGATTGTGTTGGGTGGTGCGCTGTTTGTGAAGTGCTTTGAGTCTTTCTCAGATGGTGGTAGGGATGGAGAGCAAAGAGAATCAGCATGAAGTTTTTAAACAGCTGAACCGAAAATTCTCCTTCTGCTGTGAACTGTACGTTGGCCATTTGCTGTATGCTTACAAATGGGAGCTTCGTGGAGTAGTATCCTTGCATGCAGTCAGCAAGGAGAGATTGCTGGCTGATGCTGCTTTGCTTTTGCTCTTCCTACTGTCCATACAGATTTTGAGAAAGAAATGTATTGGACTTCCTGGGTGCCATCTCAGGATTGTGGCTCATGGATGTCACGGTACAAGTGTAACTTATGATTTGAGATGGGAATTATAAATTCAAATTGGAAAGCTTAGGAGATCTCTAGTTATGTCTTGCGCCGTGTCATCTTGGGGCAGACTGTTACGAAGATAATATATGAGGAAATGACAGGAACTTGCATGTCTCGCATTGAAAAAGTAAATAACAGGCTTGAGTACTCTCCTGTAACGCACAAAGTTCTCCCATTAGTGCCTAGAACTTGACTTTCCCGGTCACTTTTATTTGTTGAATAATAAAGGAAATTCATAATCCGTTTAGCCTAAGTCTCAATAGTATTGTAAACTGGACTATTTTTAAGTTGAAATAGTTGGACTTAAAGTTCCCCTAAAGGATGATTGAAAATGCTTTACAAGAGCTTGTAATTGTATGTTTACCTGCAGAACTAACTGATTCTTAATAAAAGAACAGGATATTAGTCCATGTAGCTGTGATATCGGTGCCCCGGGAAGAGGTTTGCTGGCACCCTGTACATGTCATAAGCAGCTCTTGGAGCAACAGTGTTTATGTTCCAGAGAAGTAGTACAGCAAGAACATGGAACCCCTTGGGTGGGGAGGTGTTTTTCTGCTCTCTTTAATAACTGGATATGTGATGCTGGGGGTCCTTGAATGTATTAATTACCATTGGAAAAGATGGAACTCTGAATTCTCTGGGCTCAACTCGTGTCTTTGATAATTCTTTTACTGTTGGTGCTTATAGCAGTGGCAGAACCATGATGTCCGTAAAAGCAAATGATTTGAGGGATGCTGCTGAGGGAAGAACTTGGCTGGATGTCCATAATTATTTTTCCTGATGTGTTTTGTTTCAGTGGGCCAAGCTCTGTACAGATGGAAAACGATAACAAAGCAATAGCAACTGTGACCGGTCTTCAGGTTGGTACTTATCGCTTCAGGCTGACAGTAAAAGATCAACAGGGATTAAGCAGTGCATCTGTGCTCTCTATTACTGTGAAGGAAGGTAAGCCTAGCTGCTGCCACTTAAGATGTGCTAGGTAACTTGCCAGTTAACTCAGTCACTGACAAAATGCAAAGAAAACTAGATATGTTGTCATATTTCAAGGACATTCAAGAAGAGTTACTGCTGCTTTGTAGTAAAGATGTATTATGAGTGGCAGTGATAGGATTACTTCACTTACTGCAGTTTTTTTCCAAGTTAAATATATCCAGTATTAGCAGTAATAAAATACTCCAAAATATTTTGGCTGTAGTATGTTTCCTTCATTAATGTTTTTGCTTTATTTTAGTCTCAAAATTAAGATTGGAGCAATAAAGTAATTTTATGGTAGTATTCAAGAAATGAGGGCTCACAATATGCTAATTTCCACTTAGAAACTTAAAATAAGTATGGGTCTTTATGTTGCTTGAGCTTCATACAGAGAAACAGTTTTTATGTGCATGTTGTAGAAGATGCTCTCGTTACAATGCTGATTGTGCAAGAGGTACTGGCAGGTGTGACTTCTGATAGAGATTTTATAGCTTCAGGAGTGACTTCATCACTGACAGAGACTTCATAACTTTTGACCTATGTTGCACCCTGAAGCTTGCAGGTGATGGTGGTTGAACCATCTTGTTCCCCATTTTCTTCCTTAGGGGGAATGATTTTAGCAACCTCTGTGGGCCTATGTGGTTTTTTTCTTTAGAAGAGGATGGCCTAATCCATTTCACATCTGGTTTGGCCTTTTGTATTATATCTTGTTTTCTGAGGGGAGCAATGCACCCTGGCTCTGTAAATATGATGCCATACCTATATCATTTATGAGATGATGCTGGAGCTGCCCTAGAATCCTTACTGCTGCTGACTTTCTTGAAAAAATGCAGCTTTGGTTCTGCAGAGCTAAACTGCAGAGTGAACGCTTCTCAGCAAGAGAGCTGAACTTCATTTTCCCCATGTACATCACTGATTGAACTATTTGTTTTGCTACCTGTCTGGCCAGAAATACCTGGCAATAACTCGGCCCAGATCGTTCTCATGGCTTCATTTGTGCTGTGGCATATAGTCACAGTATATGCATACTGATTACAGTCACAGGCTCAATATTAAAAATTCTCAGTGCTCCAAAAGCTAAGTTTATTCAGCTGGCTTATGGGGAAGAGCCAAGGAGATCACTCGTCTCCTTGAGAAGTCTATTCTCTTCTGGAGCGCATAAGTTACAGCCAATACAGCACACTGGAGACCTGCCCAAAATGGAATTATTTATGTCCTACCTAACCTGCAGACCAGTGAGGTATTTCATTCAGTATTACAGCTTCCTGGAGCTCTGTCTTTCCACTTACTTTCTAAACAGAAGTCAGTGATGATATCAGATCTTGGCGCACAGATTTCTTGGAGAAAATTTTTTTTCGTGTTTCTTTGGTGTTTGTTGGCCTGTACTTCTAATGCATGCTATCATTTCCCTGCTAGCGGTGAGCAAAAAGCATTCGGGGACTATATTTACTCTTGGTTTGCTTAATATACTTGGCCTAAATACTGGCATTCTGAAAATTTAAAGCCTTACCCAAGCTTCTATTGGGTAATGAGTGATGACTCGCAAGGAGAGACAAGCCCAGTGGGGTGGTCTCATCGTGGGCAGTGTTTGTAAGGCAGGCAGAAAATGTTTTAGCTTAGCTGAGGAAATCTGATCCATAAGTTATTGTGAGACTGTAAATAGAGCACCCCACAATGCTTTTTGTACAAGACCTTTCTGAAGGGTACTTCTTACTGATGTTCTTTTCATGGTGCAGTTCTACTTTTGTCGGACTGTAGCCAAATTCACTATACCCACACATCCTTTCCCTGTGCCTTTGACATGAGATCCTTGTGTTATGGTCTGTAATTGTCAGGTAGAGAACTGCAGTGAGATTTGTAACGTGGACAAACTATGTGGGTCTATCGGCAATGGCATGTCACATCTCGCATGTTTTGAAAGCAAATCCTTCTCCTCCACTATTTTTATGGCTAGAAAACAACAGTCCACCCCGGGCACATGCTGGTGGGAAGCATGTTCTGGTGCTTCCCAATAACTCTGTTACCTTGGATGGCTCAAGGTCTGCTGATGACCAGGGGATTGTGTCATATTTGTGGATTCGGGATGGTCAGAGCCCAGCAGCTGGGGTAAGTTTCTTGAAGGTTTCAACTGGAGTCAAATCCAGCTCTTCTCATGCATGTAGCTCCCCTGCAGCAGGGCCAGCAGGTATGACTCATGAGATGCTGTGAAGGTTCATCTTTGGTTCTGGTTTGTCTCCCCAGGTCTCTATAATGTTTTGGTCCTAGGGGCTAGTGCTGCTTTAAGCATAGCTACGGAATATGTTTAGTCAGGAGGACTGCTGCACTCTGGACTTTAGTTGGGAAAGACTTGAAGTAGAAGAATTAAAGATGTAGCCTTCAAAAAAGTAATTGGCAATAGTACAAGCTAAGGTATTGGAGAGGATATCATTTGAAATCCAGATACCCCCAAAGGAGGAAGCTCCTGACAAAGGAAGAAGTGCTTATAAAGACTGAGGAATAATATCCGCTATCAGATAAAGCGGAACTTGCAATGTATGATGATGATAAAAATGGTGTTTGGTGTTGGATAGATAGATGGATACCTTGCCTCACAGACCAGGGAATAGTCTGGGCTATTAGGGCAGTGGTGAGTCCACTCTCTAGGTGCGAGCTGACCACTGAATTATCCCAGGGTAAACTGAAGTTTATGTCAGTTACTAACGCTGTGATAACAGTGCTTGTCTCCACAAAAGTGTTGCAAAATAGTAACAGGGCTTCTAGAAGCAATTTACATGAGAATATTGAAAGGGCTAAAGAGGCTTAGCCTAATGCCAGCCGGCAGAGATGACAGCTGGAAATAAACTCAAAGGAAGAGAAATAATTTAGGATGCAAGAAAGCAGAACCAAGGATACTGGAGTAAAACTGAGGAAAAAAAATTTTCTTAGATTTTTCAAGCAGATGAGTACTCGTACATGTCAGCTGCCTTGTCTGAAGCTTTTTTTTAATGGGAAGCATCTGCACTGTGCAGACATCCATTAACTCCCATTTCGAAATTGGCCTTGCTTTGTTGTGAAAGGGTAGGGATTTATTCAGGAATGGCATTCTTCACATTGGTCCAAAAAGCCGAAGCAAGAAGTCATGTCAGATACCTGACCTGATAGTCACACCTGCAATTTTATCTGAGGGTATAAACATCCTGGTGCCTTGTTTTTGCAGGATGTGATACATGGCTCAGACCATGAGGCAGTACTGCAGCTCACCAACCTGGTGGAAGGAATCTATACTTTTCACTTGAAAGTGACGGATGCCAAAGGAGATTCAGATATTGACACCGCTACTGTTGAAGTGCGGCCTGGTATGGCAATTAAAAGGTCATCTACAAGTTGTGAATACCTCATCTTCGTTTTCCTTTTTAATGTTGACAAGATTCTGTCAGGTTAAAACAGAAAACAAAACAACCAAGCAGGTGTTTCTCCTCCGACTTTCATATTGCTCCTCTCGAGAGGCCTCAGTGTGTAGAACTAGCTGTGCTGGGATTCTCCTCTCCCACCAATTACAATTGTTGCATTGGTAGAAGTTTATAGATATATGAAAGTCATGCTTCCTAGTGAATATTTTCATTAGTTATGTTCATTCCTTGTTGATGTCTCTTTCTTTTTTTCTGGCTGTTAATCAGGTTGGCCTATGGAAAGAGGTGGGAGCTCATATTGCAGAGGCTTCGACAGAGACCTGGCTAATTCTCCCCAGCTTGTACTGATCCACTGTGTGCTTGACTAGGATTTCTTTTGGTCTCTGTACTGTCTAATGATGTAATGAGGGTGGCTTTTATTTTTTTCTTCAGTTACATTTTCTGCTTGTGATGCTGTAGTTGAGCATAAGTTTGGTGTTGATTTGATTGATATTTGATCATTTAAAGTGTGTTTTCAAGCCTCCTTCCTTTTGTTCTGAAGGACAAAAAAAATCCCAAATGACTTTCTGGGTTTTAACACTTGGCTTTTCATTGTTTGATATTACTCATATACACTGTTTTTAAGTGTGGGATAAATGGCTATGTGATAGAAGCACAGGTTGAGGTTTCAGGAAATCCCAGTCTGAAATCATGGCTCTGTAGCAGATTTCTTGTTTATCTGGTTCCTGGGTAATGATTTTATTTTTGCTCCTCGCTTTCTTATCGAATGTAGTCGGGGTAATCGGGTCACGCTGTCCTTGGATATCTGCAAAGCTTGTCTTGTTTACAAACTACTCTAGAAGTGCAAGTGTTACTATTTAACAGAAACCTCCATTTTTGAAGGTAAACGTATCTGATATTTCTCAAACTGTCCATCCTCATTTAGACTCATTCACACAGTCTTGCATACTACCATGTGGGTCCAGCTTTGCATCCCTTCCCCAGGTTGGTGGCCAGTAGCAGATCTCACCTAGTGCTCTAACCTTAAGATGGCAGCGTTTGAGGGAGCTGATGTTGCCATTAGGTGTAGACATCTGATAATGGCTTGAAGTACACACTGAAATCCTCTTTCTTATTTTTCTCTTTTATTTTTTTCGTTTTTCTCCCAAACCTGTTTTTTAGGACCTATCAAGCTTGTTTCAGAAGGAATGTGAGAATGTAGGCTGAGTACTACTCAGTTTCGAAGAGCACGGAAGGGTTTGATTGAGAGTTATGGGTCCTATGCAGGAAAACTAATATTAGTAAATGCTTTGAGGACTGCGTGTTGTCTTCAGCTGGCACTGAAGGATTTGCTAGGCTCTGAAAGCATAGCTTGTTGTTCTTCTATCAGATCCCAAAAGAAGTGGTTTGGTGGAGCTGATTCTGCAAGTTGAAGTGGGACAGCTGAGTGAACAGCAGAAGGACACCCTGGTGAGACAGCTGGCTGTACTGCTGAATGTTTTGGATTCAGATATCAAAGTTCAGAAGATACAAGCCTACTCAGATATAAGGTACAAAGATACCCTGCTGTGCCAGGAAGATTGATGATTCTCCTTTATTTTTCCACAGCTCCTAATTAGCTGCGAAATCATGTGGAAAAAAATTACAAAAAATGTTATAGCTCTCTATAGCATATACTTTAAGAGGTGAATTTCTTCTGCAGTGGCAGAAAACTGAAGTAAGCTCTCTGGAGCTCTGGGACATGAAACTGAAGTGTTCTAAGTAAAAAGAAAAAGTTCTCTGTATATATTACCCCCGCTTTCCCCCAAGGAAAATGTATATATTTATTTCAGTGTCTTTGTTCTATATACTGCTGTTCTTCCCACAGGCTAGCTGGAACAAGACAGACAGCCTTTCTCATAGTGAAACAAGTAAACAAGTATTACATTTCAAAATAAGGTTCCAGCTGTATATGATCAAACTTGTCCCATTCCCCTTTTGTTCTTCTTCCTGCCTAAGCTTTTGATATTCTAAGTACATTATATATTTTTTTTCCCAGTTAGCGCTGGGGATTGAATCCATTAGGTAACTGGTGACAAGAAACCCACTTCTTTACAGAAAAGGAATGCCTAAGTGACAGACTTGGAGTAGAAGAGTGTATGCAGCCAGAGAGACTTCTCAGTGTGATTGATGGAACCTGTTGACATGAGTTATCTTTAAATTACTTATTAACTGATTGCTAATTTAAAAACCATTTTGGTGTCTCTTCAGCTCTCCAGGCACCTCCTGAAATTCAAAAATAAGTAATTTAGTAAGTCTAGTGTTCTCAGCTGTGGTATTTTTAGTCGGAGCTTCCAATTACTGCTTTCCAACTTAAAGATGTTCCCTGAAGCATCTAACACAGGATGAGATCAACACTACACAACATTTTTAAAAAAAAAAAAAAGAAACATACAAAAAAAAAAAAAAACCCCACACACCTCCCACATGAAGTTCTTTCTGGCTCCCTCGCTTCTGAGCTTTTCCTCCTCTTGAACTCAGTTTCCTAAGCTTACCCCGACTGCTTCAAATTGCTTTGTGCCAGATCCTGGATGTTTGTGAGGAAAGCGAGCTTTGCATGTGTGCCTTTTTTTTAACAAAGTAAGAGTCCGGAAGATCATGGAGAGAATTATGCTTCCTGTTCTCTTCAGCTTCCTTCTGTGAGACTGAGGAGCCAGGGAACTGCTGATGTGTCTGGCTCAGGATGAGTTGCAGCAGCCATGGCATTCGGACAGATTTCACTGGTTCTCAGGGATAAGGTTCCCTATCTGTAGCAATGGTAACATTTGCTTTCCAGAAACAAACAAAGCAAAGACTGTAAACTGAATGCCTGGCAAAACCAATCCTTGACAGCGGTCCTAATCTTTGCTATTCTCTCTGCAGCACAGCGGTGGTTTTCTACGTGCAGAACGGGCATCCTTCCGAGGTGATCAAGGCATCCGATGTTTCCCGTACTCTGCACGTGCAGCTTTTGAAAGAGAAGGCTGACTTTCTGCTTTTTAAAGTTCTGCGGGTTGACACAGCTGGTATGTTCTGGATGGTGTTTCCTCCTCTTTGAACCTTGCAGGCATTTGAAAAAAGTGTATGGGGGCTGCCTGTCTGCCATCTTGGTGTCTGGGCTTGGATTTAGCTTTCTGAAAGGTGGCACTGAGGACATTACTTATCTGTGATGAACTGATACCAGTTGCGTGTGTTATTTTAAAAGATGTGCTTTTGCCTGCTCTTACAGATGATGGCTCATCTGTTCTGCATCAGGAGGCAGCTTTCAGTCCTGGGGAACGAGGAGAAAGATACCCTAATCATGCCATGTTCTTGTGTTTGAAGAAGCACAAAACTTATTATAGCAATAATACAGAACTTGTTTCATACCTCTGCATGCTTCAAGGCCTTTAGTGCTTTATAATAGGCTTGTAATGTGATTTGTTGGTACCTGGGCAAGCAAAATAGACACATTGTCATTGTGTTATAACCTAATCGTCTAATGAGGTTATTTCCAGTGTAGAAAGGCCCCTAGAGTTTTTTATAATGAGCGAATTTTTCCTTATTTTTGTTTTTTTTAACAAGGATGCGTGAACTTCTAATGCTAGCCTTATATTAAACTACACAAGTAATATGAACATTCTGTGATGCTCAGATATTAGATATGACTTCGTCATTTAAAATCAGATGATGATCCAAATGCAAACAGAGAGAATAAGCTCTAGCTTATTTTACCTTTTATTTTATTCTGAAAGGTCACATCAATAACGGCTAGCAACAGCTACCGTTATCATTGTTTAAAGAATGTAAATGCTCTGGCCTTACATGCTGTAATTCAGTTTTGAAATATTGAATACAACGATTTTAATTATTAGTGTGATGCTTGTCATGATAGTACCTGAGAACATTAATAATCCTTAGTTCTCATGTACTTTAGAAGTTTTTACAAACACATCATACAGAAATGAGCAAGCCTGAATTCCACAGCTTCCACTCATCTTTACTAGTGGTTGAAATAAGCTGTTCCTGGCTTGCATACGAGTCCAGTATTGTTGTATGTTGCGTAAGATGTTTTCATCTTTCTCTTCACAGCCAGGAGTGTGTTGAACTGAAAATCATTTTAAAACCTAACCCCAAAGGAAAAGGGAATGAAAAATATCAGAAGGTGTTAAACTAGGTGCTCTGTCACCAATCTGGTCCCTTCACAGGAGGATGCATGGAGAGTTGTTCACTTACACAACTGACTCTTGTTTGTTTTGTTCTTAGCCTGTCTCTTAAAATGCTCTGGGCATGGACACTGTGACCCCATAACAAAGCGTTGTGTTTGCTACCAGCTGTGGATGGAAAACGTGATTCACCGTTACCTAAATGATGGAGAGAGTAATTGTGGTAAGTATGGAGGCTGTTGTAGGATGTATTCCAAGAGCCTTTCATCTCTTTGAGTCTGTCAGTTGTTTCCTGTCAGAATGGGGATGCTTAGGAGGTGGACGCTGAGGGAAGATTAGCAACATCTTTCTATAGAAGAGTTGAATAACCTCTTGAAATGATAAAGTCTTTAAAATAGCTGCTATTTTAAATATTTTGAAAGTTTTATTTTTTAAAGATTCTATCACTATTTGAGGCAGAGGAAGTACAAAAATGCTGACTCACATAGGAGAGATTGTGAGACTACTTGGGGCCAGATGGAAGGGTGGTTTGGTGTGTGCATTGCAAAGTTTTTTTTTTTTTTTGGATAGTGTTCATTTAATTTTTCCAGAGCTGAGGTACAAACACCTTGCATTCTCCCAGTGGGTGGCTGATGTGTGCTAGGAATATGATCTGAACTAAGGAAACAAAACTCCAATGGTCTGGGCTAACCAGTACAACCAACTTTAAGACCTCAACTTCTTAGCTTAATCACTGCCACCATTTCTTTCAGGATGCCTGTCACACCTGGGGAATGCAATTTAGCTTCCCCAACTTAATAATGTCTATGTTCTGCTGTTTAGCACACCTACCAAATCAGTTAGGCCAACGTGGTATCATATTGGACTCTCTATTTCAAATATTTAATAGCTTTCGTTTAAATAAATTAGTCTTCTACTTAAGCTAAAATAAGGCTGAACTTTTAGTACCATGCAGACTTGGAGACGCTTTGCAGATCACTACGCTAATCTTCAAGTAATTCTGCAGAAACTGATAAGAAGCAGGGTGCCATTTGCTAGAAGCCGTTAAGTGACAGTGGGCCATACGTCTGTATGTTATTGAGCAAAGATCGTCAACCAAACAAGATGGGATAGTGGGGTCTAAATCTGAGGCTGGGGCCTCCTGCAGCCCTGCTCTGTTGTTCAGTGTTGTACACACGTGCATTACACACAATGTAAATAACAGCACCCCAGAAGTGAGTCTATTCAAGTGGGAGTTTCACGTTATTGCATCTCAGTGAGTCATTCTCGTGTTTTTCTTGACTTACAAGTGAAAGCATGCAAATGCAATGATCTGTCTACTACAGCTGCTACGACTAATCAGCTGCTCTTGCACAGTGCGCAGAAGTGCTAGGCAGAGGATACACTTAGGCTTGCTTCAGTTATCCTCTGGGCCCTCTTGACTTCTGGATCCCTTGTAGACATCAGCTCTCTTGGAGTAGCAAAAGGCATAGGAATGGGAGAAAAGTTCCTTTACCACTTGTGTGTATCTGATCTGGAAGCTTAGAAATATTCAGGGAGTCTTGTGAGAATATGAAGGTGCTAAGTTCTTCTGAGTTGCTGTTGATGCTCCCTCCTCCCCAGGATCAGTTGTTCTAGTACAGCTGTGTTAGAAAGGGTTGTACTGATGTTGCTTTACAAAGTACTATGTTTCTTTTTCAGAATGGAGCATACTCTATGTGACTGTGTCTGCTTTTCTTTTGATTGTGGTCACAATAGGGCTTGCATGGTTCTGCATCTGCTGCTGCAAAAGGTACATGATTTTGCATTTCTTTTTGATGGGGTGTATGCAAGAATTGCACACAGCTGCACATTTTAGTCCAGTCCTTAGTATTAAACACTTGACTCTTTCCAGGTGCTTGGGGAGCCTTATGTAGATATTTTTGTATAGATACACTATTGTTGAAAAAAGTGATGTCCATCTGTGGCTCTTTGTGCTCCTTTGTATTTCAAAAGTAAAAGCCATTGCTGAAGTATCCTTCATCTTACTACGTAATTTATGCCAAAATGTTGAGCGTGTCCTGGAGATCTTCATGATCTCCTGTTGAGTCCTCCAGGTCCCCCATGCTAAGAGAAAAGAGGTTTGCCCCTGGAGGTCACTGAAGTAGGAGATTTCTAGGCCATGGGAAGGGAGTTGGCCCTGACCTCGTGGCCCTGACCTTCGGCAGTAAAGGTGGACCTGTGGGCTGCATCTGGCTAGCAGGCAAGGAGCACACCAGCAATCTCTGTCTGACAAACTTCTTCCTGCCTCTTTCCTTGAACAGTTTTACCTGCTCCTGTCTGTCATCCCCCCCCCCCCCCCAATATCTTGCTATCTTTCCTTGAAAGCTGTTAAGAAATCCTCTTTCAAATAACAGGCCTCTGCAAGCTCTGTCACTAGAGGGAGTGTGTTGCTGCTGCTCAAAAAGCCCAGCAACGAGACAGCTTATTCAGATGTTGGCAAAAATGAAATGCTATCAAAACCTTCCTGGATTTTTAACTTTGTGTAGGGTGTCTTTGCAGTGTGTAGAAGATGGTGTATGAAATGCACAGGAGTTGGTACTTTCCCTTTAAGAGTAAAGGAACAATGGGGTTGGTAGAAGGGTTTAAATGGAAAAGTATTCCACATCTGTGTGGGGTTGGATCTGATGAGAGAGTGGCTGTTTATGTGGTTCAGCTGCTTCTGTGGCTTTGCCTCAGAACGGTAAGATGCCCTTTGCCCTGTGGAAGCTCAAGGAAAAAAAGCTTGGGTGCTTTGATCTCTTTGACTTGCCAAATAAAATCTGTTTTCCAAAAGAGTGTAGAGGGGAAGCCAGGTGGCTGTAGTGTCAGCTGGGTAGTAGGTGCTTCTTGAACAAAAGCAATGTTGGACTGTGGGATCTAGAAGTGCTTCTCTAGACATTGCCAGAGAATCAGTCCCTGCCTTGAAGAAGGGCATGTTTTTTTAAAAAACAAAAACAAAAACACCTCCCCCCCCCCCCAAAAAAAAAGTAAAAGTTTTGGAAAGGAGGGCCAGGAAAATGCCTGAGGTGTGGCAACATGTTCTGGGAGGAGCCACCTTGGCTGCATGTATTAACATCCTCCTTTCTGCCCTAAAAAGCCTTTGTTCTGTCTCTTCCATCTAATACAAGAGTTCCATCTGTTTTCCTAGCTCCAGAGCTACTCTGTTCTCTATGAATGAGCTGTCAGGTAATTCTTGCAAACAGCTGAAACTGAACACAGAGGTGGCGAATGTGGGAAGAATAGATAGGCTTGTCTATAGACTCTTTTTTTTTTTTTTTGCCTCCCCATATGTATGAGGGACTAATCTCCATTTTTTTTAATAGGTCTTCCCTCCAAGCATAACCAGATAGTTTCATTAAAATCTCTTTGTTTAAATAAAAAGGGGGTCTAACCAGTTCTTGCACAAATTTTATCTGGAACCCAATACATGTCTGGCTTGTGCCTAGTTAGTATGTTGAAACTGAACAAACTGAGCCTCTGTGGCCTCTGAGAGCAAGCCAGTGGTGCTTGCTTTCTTCATCTTTGCATATTAGAGAAAGAGGGGGCGGGGGGAAAAATTGTATCCTCTGATCCAGAATGTGCTGCTGCTTTAAATGCATATAAACTGGAGTAACTCTTTTGGAGTGGAGATGAGGTTTTGTCTTTGTACATGGGGTCCATAGCTATGCATATGGAGAGAGAGAGGGAATACACATTATATGTGTGTCTGAGAACTAAATATACTTTCCGTAACTCTTTTTCTTTAGCAGAAAGAGGACAAAGATAAGAAAGAAAACCAAATATACCATCCTAGATAACATAGATGAGCAGGAGAGAATGGAGCTACGACCCAAGTATGGTGAGAGCTATTTGTTTCAATTGCAATTATTTTAGGTAGTGAATTTTTAAAGCAGGAAGTCATCCACTAAGTTTACGGCCAGTGTACTTGAATTGATATCCGTGGCCTAGATCCAGCCTGGAAGCTGGACTACAAGAATGGAGTAGATAGTGGCAAGCATAGGTGGCCAAATGATGGGGGTGATCCGCTTCGCTCTTGCTTTAGGCCTTGGGCTCAGCCAATGCTTCTTTATTAATTTTAAAACATCTAATTGTCCCACAGACTTTCTTTAGGTAAACACCTCCCCCTTGACTCTTCTCCCTTTCCTTAAATTTAGGGCTGTTATCTTAAACTGGTGCACAGCAATTCCCCCTAGTCCAGAAATGCCTTGTTAAACATCAGCGGACTTGGGCCACTATCCTCTATTTATATTTTTTGATTTACCTTAGTTTCAATTAGTGTAGCAGGGGAAATATTGGAATCCAGTGGAACAAAATCATCCTGAGTAAATGGTGCCCCAAAAAGAAGCAACACTTCTGTAGAAACCATGACCTTTCACTGTCTGTCAGTTCAGTCAGATACCACATCAGATAGCTGAATAGAAAGATTAATTTCTAAATTCAAGCTATTAGAGGAGGGTTAGCTATGTGCTAAGATCCCGTAATTGTCCCAAATTTAAATACATATATTCACATTTCAGAACCATAAACTGATTGGCCTGCAGTGAGGTCAGAAGAGTATCTAGCTGACAGTATTGGTACCTATGAGGCCAGTGTTTGATATGGGTGATGGTAGTTGTGCAGGCTGTTACGCTGAACGACCAAGAATATTTTCCACTTGTTTTGCGTATCACAGCAGAGGAGAGGATGTTTAAACTGTTACAAGAAGTGAAACTTTTCTAATGACCTTGTTTTGCTTGTTTATTGCCAGGTATAAAACACAGAAGTACAGAACACAATTCCAGTCTGATGGTCTCAGAATCAGAGTTTGACAGTGATCAGGACACTATCTTCAGCAGAGAAAAGATTGAAAGAGAGAACCCCAAAACCCTCATGAATGGATCCATCAGAAACGGAGTTTCCTTCAACTACAGCTCCAAAGACAGATAACTGAAAGAGGGTGAAAGCACAGCAGGCGCTGGTGCAACACCTCCGAAACAGTTGGTCCACCTCTTTGTTTTTCCAGAATCAAAAGCTTCCTAAAATATCAACTAATTGCAGGTGAAAGGGAAAATTTGTAGCACAATGGAGGGAGGGAAAGAGAGCAGCTAACTCCTGTTGTCCCCTCTATAGGAACAAGGAAAAGCACATTTTATTTCTTGCATGTTCAGTACTGAATGTTTGCCTAAACTTCAGAAGGCCTTTTCTCCTGTATCAAAACAGTGCATTGCTGTTACAAGATTAGCTAGGGCTGTTGTGCTACTAACAGCAATGACTGAGATGCATATAAATTGTCCTGTGCTCCTAGGCCTTTCTCAAAGGAGCAGTGTGATTATGAAGCTGACCTGAAACAGCTAGAGACAGCATTCATAGTTTCCCTTACATCTGTAAAGAGCAATATGTGACCACAGGCTCCATCATTCAGTTTTCAAAGCAGGTGCACAAAGAGGGAGCATTTTTAGTGCGTTGTATTTATCTCTGAGTGTGTCTTGTGACTTCCTGTTCTAGGGTAGTGCTCATCAAATGGAAATGCCTTTGATTTTAAGGGAGGTTTACAATTTAGCAGTTGCACCTATTCAGCTGTGAACTAATGTTAGACATCTGTGTCCGGTAGGATGCAGTATTCCCTGTGCTTGCAGAGGCAGTTTGGTGCCTGCAGGGAAGTCCAGCCTTAGGTTGCTTCTGTAATGATGAAGGTGCTTCTGCCATGTCCAGCAAGTAACCTGCAGCAGAGGGGCAGGGAGGACTCCATGTGATGTGCCTTCTGAAATCGTTTGAGCATCCTAAATGATGTTTTGTTTAGAGAACACTTTCAAGGAGCTCAGGACCTTCTAAGGCTGAGTCTCAGCTGAAATGACTTTAAATCTGTCAGCCTCAGTGCTCAGTTAAAGTAGAATGTGCTAGGCCTTTGCAAAGTAATGTGCTTGTAGCAAAGTACCCTGTGTGGAGCAGGAGGTTGGACACCTGCCTCCCCCACCAAGGAATCAGTAGTGAGAAATATTTTAGATTGCCTTCTTTTTCCCCCCTCTGTAGTTATTCAGCAGTTAACTGTGTTGGCCCAGAAGAGGTCCCTTGAGGTGTTTAGGAAGGGTAGGAGTGTTTGAGTCCTGATGTTGCTGTTCTTGCTCACAATGTGGATAATTTTCCTATGGGTGGCTCATTAGGCTCTGAAGCCATGTTCCTAGTACTGTTCTTAATCCCACCCTGAAGACTCGGGTTATGTGTAGACCTTATTGCCTATAGGGGCATCTGCTTTTGTGGCACTGCCTGGTTGCTGCGCCAGCCTTTTCTGGGGGTCCTTTACTGACAGGTTACAGGTCTTGGGCAGGGCTGGGCTGAGCTGGAAGAATGATGTGTTGTGGTGAGGGGAGGGGAGGAAAAAAAACCCAGTCCTTTTGGAGCATTTTAGGCATTAAAAAAAAAAAAAAAAAGAGAGAATCCAGTAATGGGGAAGGTTAGAGCAGTATAGGATGTGTCCAGAGGTTGTGGGGAGAGATCAGAAGGGTTGAAGGGGAGGGCGTATCCCACTGCCATCATGAGGAATAGTTTGGCAGAGTTTTGGTGCTTTCCCTGCCCTTTCACAGAAAGCAGCCACAAAAGTGGTTGGGTTGAATGTTGTGACTTTTGTGCTTCTCTCTTGTTAATGGAGTTGGGCAAAAGTATTAAGAACTAATGAGGTTGGAAGGATTTGGTAGTCAAGCTGCAACAACATGACATGCTTGTGGTTTGTATTCACTCTGATTTCCTTTGGTTCCCAAATGCAGCCAGCAATGTCCATAAGTGTATTAAGGAGTGTTTATCCTGTGCCCAAGCCTGCATTTCACTGGAGAGCTGAGTTTGGCTACAGGAGTCAGTGGTGGGCAGATGCTGTGAAGAGTTACACATAGGCTAAAGCAGTTGTTCTCCGTGTTTTCCTATGCCCTCTGCAAGATTCAATACAGATGGGTATGGGATTTGCTTTACCTAAAAGCAAAGTTTTAACTCTATACGTAGATATTTTTAGAATGTTTATTGAAAAAAATCTGCTTTATCTCCTCCTCTCTCTTCTTGAGTTCATTGAAAATTTTTTTTTACAACTCAGCCAATAAAAGTAACAGGTCAGCTTTTGATCTCTTAATATCTGCGCTAGATATATTAGCACAATAATGCAAGGTTCACTTTGAAAGCATTCCTTTTAGAAAGTTAAGGCCCACCCAAAATAAACTGATTTTTCTCTTCTTTTTAAATCAGTTTTGGGCTTAAATCTATTTTGTAGAAATTCTAAAAAAGGTTCTAATAAGAGTTATGCTCTTGGAAATGTGCACTGTCAAAAACAAACTTTTTTGAGCAACTACAGCTCTGTATCAGTCACGCTGCCATTAATGCTTCTGCTGAATACTGTATCCAGTGTGCCTTTCATCTGTAAACTTGTCTTAGTACATATCTGTGCACTCAGCGGCATCCTTTGATTTGTGAAGTCAATCACTTGCATTTGTTGGTTTTATTTCACATTTTTAAAGCCTGGTGTTGAAGCTTAGGAAACCACAGACATCATTTTTCAAACTGAAGAATGTGATTGTCTAGTAAAGAAGGAAAAAAAAAACAAACAACAACTTCAGTTTTCTCAAACCTGCTCTGCATGCTGCAGACTTCCTGGTGTCATCTCTGCTTTCACAGAAGTTGTGGGCTCAGATCTTCGAATCAGTGGCAAGTTCATGGCAATGAGAAGATCTGTATAGTTTGCCTGTGTTTCTCACTCTAGCAAGTAAGAAACATTAGACCGATTTGTTATTGCATAAGGCTTTACCAAGTGGAAGTTAGCTGCTTACTGAGTTTTCTCTCAGATGACACTTTGACATCTTTATGTCAATATTTTGGTTAGAAGGTTTTGAATACTGAATATTACTTGAATTTTCGAGCCGCTTCTAATTCTGCTAGTTTGTTTTTTCCATCTGCTTGGAGGGGAAAAAAATGAGGAGGAGTTAATCTTAAAATAGTTGCTCTTGCATAATATCAAGCTTGCTGTTAATATGAAACTTGCACAGAAGTTGAGAATAAGTACTTTCTGGCTCTGTGAATTTGTGATATCAGATGTTAGTGTCACTTGGCCAAGCATGATTTTTGTCAGGAATTTAGGACTGAACATAACAAGCTTTGTATCTTGAATTAGCATAACTTCTCTTTCTAGAAATGTTGCTTTCTTGGAGCGTCTGTTAGATCATATCTAGAATGAAAGAGCAAGAATATTAACTGTTATGATGCAAATGCAATGGCAGAAATAAGAACTGCTGCTGGCCTTCTCTTGAGTTATGATGGGTTTGAAGCAGGTTCTCAGTCCTTACGTTTACTTATGTACTGTTTTCATTTGTGTACTGTAAGAGTGCTGGCAGCTTGTTTGTGAAATAGAGATGGGAATTTATTTCAGAAGAGTGGAGGAGACCAGATGCAGCTTGTCACGTATAGCTCAAGGAGTCCATTGAAAAAGTGGAGTAAATTCAGTTTGGCATTGATAAGATACTGCTTCACAAGGTGAACAGTGTGCTGATACTTAGTGCTTCATGTTCTTGGTGTAAGCGCTGGATTTTCACTTGCATCTTAGTTTTACGTTTTTATAGGGGCTGATGCACAAGAAAGAATTGGCCAGCTATATAAAAAGCAGCCTTTGCTTACATGTTTAAGGAAGGAGTATATTTAGGAGAAGCTTTCTTGTGGTTGCTGCCCAAGGCGTTGAATAGGTTCAGTACTCAACACTGCTTGTATAGCAGTACAAAATTGCCCTGCTGCGAATAGGTCATCAGCTTGTGTTTTTTAATTTCTTAGCCAAAAGGCTATTGCAGTAGAATATGAACTTTACCTAGGGGCAGGTCTAAGAACCAAATTCAAAGCCTCTGTTCTCTGGTTCAACCTTTTGTATTGAGTAGATTGCAGAGAAATTCCAGTAAAATGGGAACAGTCTAGTTATAAAGGATTGCGTATTTGGGGAGGCGGTAAGAAAGGTCATGCTTGTGTAATGTGTAAGAATACATTTTTCAACCACCTCCAGTTAGGCGAAGGGAGCACTAGCAACTTCCTGCTAGGTGCAGGAGAGAGAGCTTTTCTTCAAGGATCTGTTTTGTGCTGTCAGATGTGTTTGCTTATATGATGCTAATTTTCCTTTTCTTCCTTGATCTGTTGTGGGCAAACAGAAGTGCACACACATGCAGGGGACTTTTCAGCATAGAGAAGATAGTGTTAACTTTCCTTAGACATCTCTGATATCCTTGAAGTAATCGAGTTCTTCAGGCACCACTTAGGCAAATTTCCTATGGCCTGGTTTATAGCCTAAAGTGGAACTAGTTTTGCCCCTCAGTATACTGATAATGGGCTGTAGCTACCTGAGCTTTGGGGGTGATAGTGATAACATGTCCATTATTTAAAACTTCTGAGCCATTTATGTGAGGTTTGAGGGAGGTAAACATCCGTTTTGAAGGGAAATGGGCTAGATGGTGGATTGGAGTTTCTTAATATCGGATACTGCTTATCACTGATCCCTAACCAGAATACTAATCCCATAGGTCTGCAGCAAAGAACCCCTTTAACATGCCTTTTGGGTCCTGAACTCCCTATGGCAGGGGAGGGAACCTTAAAGGTTAGCAATAGAAGGGGTAAGGGGGGAAAAAGGGAAAAGACATTTTCTGTTTTGCACATGCAACGAATCGAGTGCAGATGAGCCACACACATCAGTAGTTTGCCTCTGTATGGAAGCACTTCTCCCTGTGGGTGGATGGGTGAGCTATTGCAGAATTTATAAAGGAATCTGTTTCTAGAAAATGTTATTTATTGCAAATGATAATGTATCGTAACTAGAACCATTTCTGAGCTGAAACTATTAAATTTATGTAACCCTACTAATAAAGTTTCCTCCTTCCTTCTAGGAGGTTGTCAGGTACTCTTTTAGATGTGGTATTATTCTGAATTGGACTCGACACTCAGGTCAGGATAATAAGCTGTATAGCATAGCTTATGGCTATACTCCAACCTAAAAGCAGTGTAATATCTGACTTCTTGCCTTCCTATTAACAGAACCGAAGTAGTCCTGGCCCCCCCCCTTCCCCCCAGTGACCCTCCCGAGGTAACATAATTCTGATAATCAGATCAGTGGGCAGAAACAAATTCTTACTGCGGTTTACAGTAATAGTTTTCATGTGCTGGTTTTTCCTTCCTTGACTTTGATTGTCCACAAATATTCACCATCTGTCATGCTTGGAAAACGATGGTTTCACATGATTTGTGGTTTATTCTGTAGCAAATCAAGTACCGGAGTGTTTGCGAGTATGACAACTGCTTTGCAGCAGTCAAAGGAGCTGGTATTTAACATAACCTAAAATACCACTGTAAATGAAGGACAGGTTATGCTGTTCAGAAACTGAAGCTGGAAAAGAAAATGTCATGCCTCAGTGTGTGTGTGAAGTGTATGCTAAATTATGAAAATAAAAAGTACTATGAGATACAGATTTTCTTATGTAAGAAAAAAACATACAGTGTTGAAGCATCCTAAGTGTACCTGGACATATAGCTTTCAGCTTACAATATGGCATTTCTTACATTCATACATTATTCCTACAGGGAATACTGGCTGCTGAATGGGCTGATGAGGTATGTAGTGTCAGTTATAGAAGAACAAAATCTGCTCGTTTGTTTTTGCGTTGTACATCTTGGTAATAGCAGTAGCCCCTCTTTTATTAAGTAGGTTGATACAAGCCTGTATTGTTGTACAAGAGAAGGTGCAGTAGCAGTGATTCCTAAACACCTTATGCAGTTGTGCTAAGTAGCTTTGTAAATAAGGCAAATAAACTATCTGGTAAATGCTCACAGTAACTTCCTGTGTCTTGGAAGGCCCTAGGCAGAGACTTCTGACAAAGAAACACTTCAAACAGGTGCTATAATATTTAACATAGAGCTTCTGAACACCATACTTAAATCCTCTCTCTCAAGCTAGTTCAAGCTTTCCATAAGCTGCAGGGCTAGGGCAAAGGGCTCTTCCTCCTGACCACCTATACATACAACAGTGCCAGTTATAGTAAGATGGATACTTTAGTGCTGAGTCAAATCATGGAAAACTCTTTTTACTTGCAGGATTGTCAAACTCCCAACAACATACGCCAAGAAAAATACAAGCTGTTTTAGTCTGTGCAAACCATTTTAACTGCCCCTTACATTCTGTGAAAACTGTAAAAGCATATCATGTGTCTTAGACTAGTCTATCTAGGAAACTAATATGCAGCAGAACTCCAGCCTGCTCAAGCTGTTCCTTAGATGCAGCAGTCTTAGTGAAAAGAGATAACAAAGTGCAATCTGTTGGGTACCCTAAACAGAACGGAGTGCTTAGATACTGGCCAAACTTGAAATGCTCCTCAGCAGCGCTAGGTGACTTTCATCACCCCTCAAGGATCAGTTACCAGGACCAAGAGCTTCCCTCACTCAAGGTAAGTTTCCCCAGCTTAGTATACCAACAAGCAAGCATCATCTATACAGTGACTTCCCGAAAACGCTTCTACGCTAGGGCTGGCGATGAATATCTGCCTCCTTAAGCTAAAAATTCTAACCTTAATCTCTAGTAGATCAGGTAAACAGTTATTTTGCAGTTTATTACACTGAGAGGACAAACAGCAATTCTACAAGTACAGTAGGATCAATGAGAGCTGCTTAAAGGATGGTGTAAGAAAATGAGATGGGAATTGACCATGAATAAGTTGGGTTGGAAATTAGAAGAGGGTTTCTAAAACTTCAAAACTGTCTTAACTAGATGAAAATAAAAATGCCTCTCAACTTATTTTAAATCTGTATTTATTATCCAGACAATTATGCAGGTATCCATTTCCTGAAAGCAGGGAAAGGTACTCTGTGGTCTGGAAAGCCTTTCCCTTGTGGCAAGATGTTTGATTCAACATAAGACTTTCATGTGAAATAACTGATAGCATTCTAGTATGTCAAATTAGACTGATCATTCCCTTGATTTAGATTCAAGGGATTATAGTAGTGATAACCAAAATTTTGCACCTAAACAATGCCTGGATGCAGAAGAGTGTCTTTTTCAGTGCTTAAGCTGTCTGAGGAAAGACTTCTGTGCAAATCTGATGGGCTGAATTCAATGTGGCTGCTGTCAGTTTAGCAATTCCTTATTGAATAAGGTAATAAACAACAGAATCTAGTGCTTTCACAGAAGTTATTTATTAACTGACATGTTTTTCAATCACAGTTTAATATCCACAAATTGTGAACTTGACAAATATAATCTTAACATAAATGAAGTTTAAGAATTCAAGTATATCCTTTGTTAAAGAATCACAGCTTTTGCTATGAATACAATTTAAGATTATTCTCTGCTTACTGATATAGACCATTCCTACACAAGGATGCTATGCTGGAATCCAACCATAATCCAGTCTAAACAAAGATATTTTAAAGTTTATTACATATGCTATTAATAATTATGGTTTGTGCTTGTTATCAGGTACAGTAACAGGTCTTTTATGCTGGAGAAAGGTAAACATTTAATTTTAGCAGTGCTATTCTCAGAAGAGACAGCAATATTATAAATGCACCAATGCATCAGATTGCTAGTTTTGCAATGAATGAAGGGGAAGGCTAAAGTACTTATCCTCCAACCACACTGTCCCAAGAGGTACACCTATGTTAAAGACTGCACTGGGCTACAGCAGTTAGAGGTAACTTTAATATTGTAGTCTGTGCAATTTAAGTTGTAGATATTCCACCAGTCTACACAGGTGTCTGCATCGCTGCACTGTGGTACCCAGCCACTGACTTGCAACTTTTTTTTGTCTCCCTTTTCTTTCCAGTAAGAACTAACCAACTATTAGCAGCCAAAGCTGCCAAATGGCATCATATTCCCCCAATCTTGCAGCCTGTAGGTGCAAGTAATGTAAGTTTTGAAGGTGGCTAGAAAAAAACTTCTTGTAGCTAGTACAGAAATAGACCACTTTTTTTTTTTTGTTCCTGACAACAAGCATGTGCTGCAGCTGATAATAGCATTAAGAATTTCTGGAAGAACGGTTAAGTGTCCTTTACCTGCCCTTTAGTTGGCATGATGCACATGAGACTGTCTTTGTCAGTAAAATGTCTAAGTGTTGCACAAACATACTCATTTCTAAATATTTTTTATGGTTAGCAGTCAATGCTACCTTATGTGCGCTTTTTAAAAAAAACCCTGTGACATTCTACTCTGGCTTGCTCTTCCCCTTCACTGCCCCCCCCCCCAAGTTATCTTATGTTATGTGGTACCTTTTTGCCTAACTACTATTTTTTGCCTATCTACTATCTTTTGCCTGTCTTACTGCATAGGGTACATTCATTAGTGTAGAGGCTTTCCTGCCTTCTTTTATTTATTAAATAATTGGTTAAATAGAAATTAACCAACACAGGAGATAAAATGTCTTCCCCTTTCCCCTTGCAATGCTGGTTTATTTACCAAATTACATTGCACACTTTTTTTCTTAAAGTGCTTCTTTTTGCTTCTACTGAAATAATGTTTAAGCATTATTTCCTTATTTTACATTAAGGAAACTTTGTCCTCTTTTAAAGAGGACAGTTAAAATAATGGGGTGAGGTACAAAAATCTCACCTCTAATCACTTCTATTCACATCTTGATTAGCCCACAAAGTAGCCACATTTAAAGGTTTTTAAACCTTCCTTTGTAATGGATGTTTTCCTCTACAAGAGTTAACCCAATTCAAGGCATAAAGCCCCGAGGAACCAAACCATCTGCTTATGTTCTTTGGAGGTGGAGAGTAACATTCTTCAGATATAGAGCAACATTTGCATCACTGACTTTCCTTCTACCCAGGAACAGTCACCTTCACTTCACAGAAGGGAACTGATGTGTATCATTATGTCACCACACTTGGGACTTACCAGGTAGTCCCTCATACCTTCTTGTAGTCTGCAAATAAGCATCCTCTCTTCTTCCTGCTGCTTGCTAAGGCAGTAACTGTACTGCACTGTCCTTCTCCTGGGAGTGCTGCAGCTCACATATGTACCAAACAAGATCCTATTTGATCCCAAACTTCCAAGCTGTTTGAGCTCTTTGCTGAGAAGCCCAAAGCTGAACAGCTCTGCAGTTAGCTTTACCAGGTATTGACAAAGCTAAGCCTTTGCCTGCAACTGTCTAGCTGTAGCTAAAAGCATGAACATCAGAATCTCTCACAATTTTTGAAAAAAAAAAAAACCCTGCTTCTAGAGAAACAGGCTAGAAAATGCAGACTAAAAAATGTCATTATTTGCACCAAACTCTCAAGGAAGACTACCCTCCCCAACATTTATCATGTCCTACACATACACTCAAACGTTATAGCAGAAAAAGGTAGTCTATTTTCTTCCTTTACATGACTTAGGATGATCTGTTTTCATTATGCACAAGTCTCCAGGTCATTCCCACTTACACAGGGGTAATCTAAAAATAATACATATGTATTCTTCCCAGCTCCTTATAGAACATAATGGGCATTGTGATCGTATTATTGAAAAACTGAATGGATAAACAGAGGACATGTAAAAATATACGGCAGCACAGAATGTAGTAAACAAACATCTCTATGCATACTCACACAACAGGATTACTTATTTTTACCGAACAGAAAAGTTGCATTCATACATATTCCTGGCTCTACAAACTTATTAAAACTACAGCACTATTTTCCAAACTTTTGGGAATTGTGCTTTTTGAAAAAATTTATAAGCCGCCAAAGCAGACATATTTTATTTCTAGGTATTCATCAATGCCATATTTTGAACCCTCTCGTCCTAAGCCAGACTGTTTTACTCCACCAAAAGGACTCTCCACTGAGGAGACTATGCCTTCATTGACACCAACCATTCCAACCTCCAGCTGCTCTGCAACTCTCCAGATCTGAGCTGGATCTTGGGAGTAGAAATATCCTGTCATGCAGGCACAGAAATACAGGAGTTAAAGTCAGAAGGAACAATTGCAAAAGACTGTAGAAAAGATACTTATTGACATTATGACTCTCATTTCATTAAAAATTCTCATCTCCTTAACTAACTGAAGCATTAAAGTTCATAAAAACACAGATATATTTTCATCTCTCCAAGAGGCATACCTGCTAAACCCACGTTGGATGCATTTGCTATAGCAATAGCTTCTTCCTCAGTCTCAAACCTGTCAATATAAAGAAAAAAAAATGCAAATGAGGTTTACAGTTCAAACACCATCTTGTTGACTTAAGGCTGCATCTCAGCAGTATCAGAAATAAAAAAATAAACATTTTTCCCCAAAAGTATTTTCAGCATCTGATTTAATTTTCATTTTGAAGCAATGGATTTTCTACCACTTCCCTTAATTTGAAGAGCAGTTAGGTAGATAGGATTGTGTCTTCATCCTCCCTACATACTGTGAGTGAGTAAAATATTTGCCTGTCATGAGTTAGCCCACCAATTTCCCTGCCTACACAAGCACTCAACTATGAGACACGATGATGTGTTCCTCCAGTTGCAACTCATCATATTCAATCACTGTGGATGGAGGTGGGATTGTTTTAAGGAGGAAAAGAAAGCTAGAGAGTTAAGTCATCCTTGATCAAAAGAACTTAGGCCTAGCATGTCATATGACAAATAATTACCAAGCCCTGCCTCCCCCTTCATTCTGCAAAGCATGAAATTGATGGGGGTTTTGCAGCTATTCTCCCTTGCTTAACTGCTGACGCAGTTTAAAAGAATCATTTTCAAAAAGCTGCGCTCATACTAAAAACAGGTCAAGAGAGAGAAACAAACAAACCAGATATCCAAAGTAAGTTTTCACATGCGTACCCCAGTCCTACTACAAGACCAGTGTGAGCTTATAAAAGTATACTTCAGCAAATGCTGATTAAAACATTATTTACACAAAATAATCTTTGACTAATCTTCTATTGCTATTTTTAGTCTGGAAAATGAACAATCTTACTTGATAACTGGTGCTAAAGGACCAAATGTTTCTTCTTGGGTGCAAAGCATTTTTGTTGTAACGTTACTAAGTAACGTTGGCTCAAAGAAGTTCTTCCCCAAGCTGTGTCGTTTCCCTCCAGTCACAATGGATGCTCCTTGAGAAACTGCATCACTAATGTGTCTCTCTACCTGAGGTATGCAAAATAAAAATCTCAAAGTTAATTTTTAAGAAGGTACAGCAGTAACACTACTCCCCAGTATTAAACAGAAAATTCTCAAGAGAGGACCTTGCAGAAGGCCATTTGCAGTGTTAATTCAAATTTTCTCTTGAATTTTAATTTCTCTCACTCAGACATTATTTCAGAGGGATAAATTATGAGTATAGCCCCAGTCCCACAGAGATAAAAGATGCAACTTTTCTACTGAAATGAAAGGAGTATATCCAAAATGTATAAAAGTCTCTGCAGGACTGAGAAGTGCACCTGACATCCATGAGCAAGGGCTGTGAAAACGGAAGTAGGAGACTGTCATTTAAAGAGAAGTGGACCATAGAAGTAAACCCTCAGGGTGGCACTGGCAAGAACATTCTCCACCCATGTTCCAACAAGGACAGAAAGCATGCAACGCCAATGGTCATGAGAACCTCTGTATCTACAGTTCATCCAAAGACAGGCAAGTAATGAGAAAACTGAAATAGTATTTTCTACCTAAAATTCTGTTCTTTGAAATAACTGAAAAGCACTTAAATGTCTCTATACCGTTCTCACGCATGTGTAGGTACGTGTTTATGATACACATGCACTATACTTTTTCGAGGCATAAAGGGAAGGCATTTTCTTACATCCATATACTTCAAAGAAATCAAAATATTGTGTCACTTGTCTCCCAAATAACCCTAAATCGTTATATATTCCGGCATTTTATGAACTCAAGGAATCTGACAGCATTCACGTAGAATGGGAATGAAACCAAGGCTGCATTTAACCAAGACATAACATATTAGAAAGTATGAACCACATAATGTAATAATCTTTAACCTCAGGAAAAGTGAAAGGAACTACTATAGAAAGTTTGACTTATTGCAATTCCAAAAAAATTCGTTTTCCTGGAGTCGGAAGTCATCCAAAACAGGAGACCCAAACCATTCATAGAAGGTTTCAAATGATTCCAACATCCAGAGCTCTGGTATTTCTAACCTCAATGCATTATTCTGCTCGGCTTTTGCAAGACGCACTTTTCTTCGAAATAAGTCCCGATTCACAGTACCTCTGGATTGCAGAATCACTACACAACTCTGACAGTGTATCCAGTTTCAGTAAATGGTCCTCTTTAGAACAGCTAGGAAATAATTAGGAAGAATCTATTTCTCTTGGCAGAACAATCTTTCTCCCTAATGCACGTAGGGGAATGATACTTATATATACACACAGGCTTGGAAGAGAGGACAATTCCAGAAAACCAGCCACACGGTAAGTATGTTCTAAGAAAATAAGTATAAAAAGAAGTTTAATATAAATCCAAAGTTACTTTATGGATCATGAAAAGGAAATTAAGTTGTCAAAAATGAAATCTTTTATTTGTACCTTCTCCACTGCTTTTTCATTAATTAACGGCCCCTGCGTAGTTTTTGCATCAAATCCATTTCCAACACGTAGCTCGCTCTCTATGGCTTTAGCAAACTTCTCCACAAATTTGTCATGGATCCCCTTTTGCACCAGGAAACGGTTTGTGCAAACACAGGTCTGAAAACAAACATTAAAAGGTACAACAAATAGTAATTTGTATTGTATTTTATTTATGCATGAATTAATTCTGGCTTTCATAGCACCATATTGGATTACTACAGTGATCTGTCCTCTTCCTTTTCTCCATCAACCTAAGCTGTTAACAAGCTTCTCCTAAGCTGCTACTTCTTTCATCACTCCACTCGCTTTAGAAATCCAATTTCAACAAGCTGTCAGTATGTGCGTGAAACACCCCATACTGCTAATAGAAGTTGCTCATGCTGGAAAAAGGTTTTCTGAGCTTTGTGGACTCTCATACGTGAATCAATGAAGGTCCAAAAGTTGTAAGAGGTATCTCTAATTAGAGACCACAGAATGCCGGGCTGAGCAAGAGAACTACAAGTCCACTGGAAGAGGTGGTGAAGGGTCTTTTTGTCTAACTGCTTCATTAATTGAGTTTGAGTTTTCTTTCTTCCTGGAATTTGTTTTGAAGTGTTTTCAGTGACCTACTAACGCACTCATTTGTGCTACCCGTTTGCTTGACCACATCCTATCTTACTACAGTCTCTCAGAAGTAATATTCCCTCTTCTATCCAACTACGTTACCTGTGACATTCTAGAGCTCCTTGTTCTTCCATGCAACATCCTGCGCAAAAGGTGCCTTGTATGTTAGGTGTTGTCCTGTCCAATGTGTATCTGACCACTCAGCAGTCCTTGCCTACTTTCCAGTCTCACTCTTTTGTTTCCTTTCTTTCTTCCTAAGACTAGTCTTGTTTTCTTTTTGTGTTATTCAAGCACCACTAGTAAACATTTTCCCAACCAAATGACTTTCCAATCCGCTCAAAAACTTGCTTTTTCTCCACGGCTGGAGTTGTTCTTCAACTTAACAGTCACTTCTCCTAGATGTAATTCTCCTAAGGCTGGAACAGCCTTCATACAGCGCACACAGCTGACTGTTCTGAAAAGTTGTGCTCTTACCAAAAGTTTTTTGACTTTAAGTAAAATACATTTGAGGCAAAGTACACTTGAAGCCTGCCTATTATTTTATTTTATTTTTTAAACTCCTTGCCGTGGACAATCTAGGCAGGTGTGTTTCCTGGCATTTCGGTCACCTTAACTCTGCTGGGTGCTTTCAGAGCACAAGAAAGACTGGGATCGGACATACAGTCTCACAGATAGGAACGTTTATCATGAGACTGGAAGTCACTATTTTAAGAAACTGCTAAAAACAGGTTACAAAACATAATCGTGAGAACTGAAGCAAGACAATGCCTTTTCGCAGCTCCAGCTCTCCAATAAATGAATTGAATGCTTATTAAGTAATCCATTTGATAAAATGGCCCATCACTTCTCACACTCTTGGGAGGGATCCTAGTAAACATTTTCCTTCTCATTGCTAGTGTTAATAACAGAGCCATACGCACTGTGAAAGTACACGGAATTTTACAATATTATTCTTCAGACGTGCTGTTTGATAACTGGCTTAAGTGCAGAGAGATGAGAATCCAGCCCCTTTCCCTTCACAGAAGTGTTTATGCTTTTTTTTTTTTTTTTTTAAAGAATAGCTTATTTATAGCCTAGAAATACCTCATTTAAAGCTTAAACTCTACGTATAGCTTTTCACTTTCCCAAAGCATGGAAAAAAAAAAAGGTTACTCTTACCTGCCCTGAGTTTCTATATTTAGAAGCAAGGGCTCCTGCAACAGCACGGTCCACATTGGCACTATCAAACACTATAAAAGGAGCATGCCCTCCAAGCTCCATGGAAACTCGCTTCACAGTGCCAGCTGCATGTTTCAGCAGTATCTGTAGGTAACAGAGGAGACAGAAATCTGTACCTCTCCCAGAGGTAAAACTATGGAACCACAGAACTTACAGATGGAAGGCAGTGAAAAACTTAACTCTGGTGGAGAATTAATCTGTATCTTTTCTATAATCTAGACCATATGTTTTCTCCCATTACAAATACAGGGAATAATTTCCTTCATTAAAATCTTGACATGAAATGAGGCCAAGAAAAGGTTAAGAAAAGGATTTCCATCAACTTCAGTTCAGATTGGGCTTCTATCACTGATACTGTCACTCACAATTGCTTGTTCACTTGTTTGTTGAGAATGAAAAACTTGATCAATCTTGTGAAATTTTCCCAAGACCTGACAGAACGTGGGGATAAGATCTGTCTTAACATCGGACTCGTTCTTCATTCCTCCCATGGCCATCCCACAGGATTCTACCACCTCTAGCCACGCTCTGCAGTATTATTGATTTCATTAGGGATGCTGAAGTAAAACACTGCTTATTGACTAAGGAGACAGGAGACAATAAAGCAAGGACCTCACTTCTCTAACGCTTCCTCTCAACTACAGAAGCCGTTCCCAAACGGCACATTTGAAATCCAATTTCAGCGTTCCTATTACTGTGCTCTCACCATGTAATATGGAACGGCAGTATCTTGTACAGCACTGTTCAGGTTACAATTTGATAAAAGGCAATTACCCAGAAGTGGCACAAAGGCATCCTTCTGTGAAGTACTGATACCGAAGTAAATAGACAGCATCTCAAGTAGTACACACTCATTTGGACAAACAGTGTACCGCAGCCAGAAAAAAGGACAAAGGCTCTATATGTAAACACACACTTTCCCCCTACCTTTGCAATATAATCACAGTAACAATCTTCAAGGATATTCTGTGCACTTATGTACCTTTCCTGTTGCAGTGGAGCCAGTAAAAGATATTTTGGCTACCAAAGGATCAGTGCACAACACCTCCCCTACAGCTGGTGCCTGCTGTCTGGAACAAGGAACAACATTATACACTCCTGCTGGAATTCCAGCCTGGTTTGCAAGCTGCAACGAGAGAAACACAGAAATTGCATTATCAGTTAAATTTTGTAACAGGAACATGTAACAGGTAATGGAGAAATGAGTAATGCTTGTTTAGCGCTTTGAAGAAACCAGTCTGTAAGTCAGTGGAAGCCCCAAGGTGTGCAGCACAACTAATAAAAGGTGCCACAGTGTCAGAGAGTGGCTTCACTCCTGTTTAAGTTGGCTGTCATTCAAAGTAACCAAAGAAAAGATATGAAGATGTTTCATGTGCGGTTAAATGGTGAGATCTACTTTGGGGCTTTTGACCATATTCAAGGCAACTCTCAAGGGTTAGTAATCAAATTAAAACCTCTGAATCAGTTGAGCCAACTTGTCCTTTCTTCACATACAAGCTTGGCTACAGCTATCTTCAAAGCCCACTTGACTTCCCATTTGCGGATTCTTATCTGCAGCTTCAGTTCGTTGCTAATGTAAAGTTTAGCATAAAAGCTCACCTCTCCAAGAGCTAATGCTGATAGAGGTGTGTCCTCTGCAGGTTTCACTACTACTGTACAGCCAGCTGCCAGAGCTGCACCAACCTTCCGGGTAATCATAGCGCTGGGGAAATTCCACTAGGATGAGAGAAAGGTAAAAAATCAAACTTGGGAAAATGTTGCCTGCTTCCGTACAAATAGCAGACACTTTCTGCAGTTACGTGATAATCTAAACAGACCTGCGTGACATGCTTTGTCCTAAGTGAACATCACAACAAGTACTGCCAACCCAGGAAGAAGTGAGTACAACACAGAAATGAAACCTTCCATGGGTGTTTCCTATGGCAGGAGGAGCCATAAGGCCTCATGGTGTGAGCTGAGTTGAAAACCTTCACGTGATCTGAAAATTCAGCTGTGCTTACTGGGGTTATAATAGCTGCCACTCCTACTGGCTGTTTCAGCACCAGGATTCTTCTGTCTTTTGCAGATGCTGGAATGACATCACCATAAACTCGGCGAGCTTCTTCTGCAAACCATTCCAGAAATGAGGCAGAATACAGGACTTCACCCTGTGCTTCTTTCAGAGGTTTACCCTTGGATTAGATCAGAGTGAAGACAAAAACAATTTTAAGTCTCTTCAGAGTTTCTGTTCTAGAGTGCTTTATAATCCCGTATCATGTATGCTGTAATTTCCGACAATGATTACATAATTTCACCAGCAGTTCCAATATACGGTCATTGTACAGTCAGCGCTTTGTCTGTTGTGCCTGGCTTTACACCTGGGCTAGACAGAGAACTTAATAACAAATATGGAATATGTTTATTTACAGACTCTGCAGTTAGCTGGTATTACCATTTTGAAGCAGGCAGTAAAAAGGCAAAATATGCCCTTATGTCAGGGATACTTTTGGGGGCAAGTGTTACTTTGGGCTAGCTCCAGGTATGGTCCAGTGGACGACTGAGGGACCACTGGCAGGTGGAACACAACAGAGGAGTGCCTGGAGTATCCTCCAGTACAGCTTCAACCAAAAGGAACCCAGTCTGTGAATTCCCAGACAGCTCTGTGGTGCAAACCAAAGTGAGCACAACTGGGACACTTGCTTTAATAGCTACTCTGATCCAAACAGAAACACTGAGGTAGACATAAGCTCCTAAACATAAACATCAGGGGTTTTAGTGAGACCACTGAGGCCTAACTACAGATCCTGTTTGTCAGGGTAGGAGTTTAAAGGAACATGCAGGACAAACAATATCATCATTACTGCAATGATTACTTGTCAGGTGGCTTCTTTTTCCTTAGAAGATTGGAATTAGGTAAACTGCAGTAAGAAGGAGACTTCAAGAAGGGCAACCCATGATCCCCATCAAAGCTTGTGCTTCTTCGTGATTTTTATTGCATATCTGGACATATAGGCTGATCCTTTCTAGCTCTCCGATTAGCAACTTTGTTTTACTAAGTATGATTAGTGAATCTAACCGTTAAACTCAAGCAGTACAGAACAGAAAAATCTATTATTCTGATCTTAATTTCCCCTACTAAGGACAAACGTGATACTTGCATCAGTTTCCTCTTGTGTATGCACATAATTTTTCCGTAATTTTGTCCAAGTCAATGGAACTCTGATAAAACAAACATTTATGCCATTAAGACCACAGTTTAGGCTTACATACACTTCTGTGCATCACAAAGCACAACGGGGGTCTGACTTCAGGTGGGTTTCTAGGTACTATTCTCCTCAAAAGAAGGGACTCTACATATGTAAGAAAGAGCAACGTTTGAAACGTTATGGACTGACCTAACGGACAGAAGTGAATGTGCCATACATACACTAAAACTCAACTTTTAAAACTCAACTTCTAAAAAGTCAATAATTTTGTAAAAAAAATACCATGCCTAACTGGTGAAATGCATGCTAAGTATTCTGATAGTTTTCAGTTTCATTTTAACGTTAGCACGTTAGGTTTCTGAAACATAGACGTTACCACATGGCAAACTGCCAATTTTCACGGAACCTGGAGCTAAGAGATGCTACTTAAATGCCTGGGTTACCTGGGTACCTTGCTGGCTCTAGGAAGGTTTATGGGTATCTTTCCATGGAGCGCGATGATCCGAATTGCTCCACTGGATCAACACGAAAATTGCAGGGGCAGTTATTTCTCCCGAAAACGCTACCGCTGCTGAGTTGCCCTACACACAGGGCCCGCGAAAGGCGAGCAGAGGCCCAAGACCCCTGCCCGCAGGCCCCAACCGCAGCGCGCCGCCGTCAGACGGGTGGCTGGGG